ACCCCAATTACAACCGAAATCATGGGGTTTAGATTCGTGGATAAGACAAGGGAAAAGTGGCACGAATGTACGTGTGATTTGAGCTCGACCACATCGTCCACGAGATGAGCATGAGGATCGATATGTAGCACCGTGGGGCGAGGATGACCACACCGACTCGACAATCCCATCTTCAACCTGTACTCCAAGCTCATGCGTTCTTGATGAATCAACACTTTTGGTGGCCACAACATCCAGCCTCAAACACAATCGGTCATTACAAAATGCAACCCTACATGTCATTTACGGAATGCAGAGATCGAACTCTCTGAAGCCAGACAGAAGTCGAGGTTTAGTCACGATTGGCATCATGAGGGGTGGGGGGATGTCGGTATACTTGACACAATTCACTTAACTTAGTGCGGCAAAAGAATAAAAAAGCAAGGGATATGTGCACTAGGACTCACCTGGGGTGGGCGACTCTGGGCAAGGCCTCTCCGTCCGTCGCCTGCCCTCGCTGGCCCCAGGCGAGGGCTGGCAACCTTCGCTCAGATCTGGGGCGAGAGTCGCGCCCTCCACTAGATTGGGGCTGCAGGCCCTCGCCGGGGGCTCGCCCAGGGCCGGTGAGGGTCGCCGGGCTTCGGGAAGGCCCGAGCGACCTTCGCCGGCCCTTCCCGGCGGCTGTGGAGGCGACCACCGGCGAGGGCTTGGCCACCACCACAGCTACTGGTTGGGGTCTTTTTTATTTTAATTTAATTTTTATAGCTTTTTTCTAATTTAATTTATATTTTTTAATTTTTTTATGACGTGGCACTTGTTGGATGTTACATCATCGCCGCGTGTCTCAAGAAAAGTAATAAAATAATACATGTCAACGCCACATCAGCATTTTCCGTTAGTAAATTAGACGGTGTTAACCTTAGGACTCGATTGAACCAATTTGACAAGTTTTAGGACTCGATTGCACCTTTTGCAAGTTTTAGGACTCAATTGCACTTTTATGATAAGTTTTAGGACTTCTAGTGCATATATCCCAAAAAGCAGAGAACACAAAGTCGGCATAAAGAGAAGATGATGAAGAGGGAGACTTTTCATTCTCTAAACCTGATGCAAAAGATAAAAAGGAAGAAAGGATTGACATGGGTACATTCGAATGAACCAGAAAATGGATTATTGCAGGATTGGCCTGGTTCGTGTCCTCGGTCAGTGTATTATGTTGATGACGACTTTGGTGGCAAGCACCACCAAGCTAACACAGCTCATGGCAGCAGTACTTCATCTTTGATACGTGCAATGTATTGTGGAATCTTATGTCACCCAGGGTATGAATGAGCTCCATCGTGATACTTTCTTCTTTTCCCTTTTTCTTTCGCTGGCTGAATCGAATCGTTTCGAGCTTTCGGTGATTTGCAATAATTGCCCAAAACACCCTGTGGTATTAGTATCATAACACAGATTACAAGTCTGAATCTCAACGCTCTATTCTCAAACTCTTTGCTCACAGTGAATTTGCAACTTGCTCACACAATAGGAGCCGTGCCCGTTTTACAAGATGAGCTGATAAAATCGAGCGCGACATGCAAGAAGGTGGCTTACATATTGCTTGAATAAGTGATTATACCATGCATGTCTTATGTACGTGTAATCTCATTTCACCTATTAACTTAAGTTTTTGGATCAAACATTATTATAGTTTGTAATTAAAAGCTAGAATAATCGTCGGGGTGGCATAACCCATGTTTGTTGTGTAAAACATCGTCTCCAATATAAGTTTAAGCTCCGTTTGTATCGCAGAAAACAAATGATTTGAAAAATATTTTTCTAAAAATAATTGCTTCAAAAACGATTGAACGAAAAATAATTTTACAGTCCACGAAAATGTTTAGATAAAAATTATTGTTGCTAATGAATACATTTTCCAATGGTTAATTATTTCAAGCAATACAGGTGATTATTTTTAAGAAAATATCTTTCAAATCAGTCATTTTTCGCGAAACAAACGAAGCTTTAAGTACACATGACCGTATTAGTGAAAATTTTAATTTAATATTTCTCGTGGTTAGAAACATGGCGAAGAAGGATAAGTCAAGCTTTGTTTAGCAACATACTTCAAAGTGTCCAAAGAAAACATAATCCTTTCTCCATAGATGGCATAATGATACTCATACCAAAAAAAAAAAAAAAGCCCTCTCCTTAAATATTTTTTCAGTAAGTGTGGCAGATCTCTGGTTATAAGCGATTGTAATATGCAGTTCTAGGATTAATCTAAAGTGCACGTCCTCTTTGTAACCTTTTTCGAAGAAAACCCTCGTTCATCACTATAACCATCAATATCGATAGTGACGGAGGTGACGCTCGAGTTATAAATAGATTAAATAGACTAGTGTAGCATACGAAAAATCCTTATTTCAACTTTGAAAACGAGATAGTCACGCAAAACTTGCACTCTCTCTTAGCTCGCGTTCGCGATTGTCGAAGGTGAACACCATAAGCAAAATCGCACATTAACTTTCGTGACACACAGAAACTATTTCCTCATGTTTTTGGCAGAGCAGATCAGATCAGGCAGTTGCATGCAGGCGCAATTCATGAACACACAGCCTTAATGAAGAAAACGGTCGTGGAAATTTAAAGTATCTGTTCGTCTTTTGGCATGGTAGGAACTGATTCAGTAACTGCCTCTCATCCTTATCACAATGCATGCAATTCATGGGCATAATGACAAAAGGAGATAACCAGGCGTTTTCCCAGGAGCACAAGGACAATAGAAAGGACTTTATCCTATGAAATTACGCATGGTTTCAATTTTCAAATTTGGAAAAATGACACAAACAGTCCTTGAATTTTGGCCCAATGTGTAATATGATCCCTAAACTTTTAATTTGTTAAATGTAACTCTTGAACTTTAATCCAATGTGCATTTGTTTAATGTCATTCTTGAACTTTTGGTACATATTCAATTTAATCCCCGAACTATATGAAAATATTCGATATAATCCTTCAATTAATTTAAGTTCAGGGATTTTATTGAGCATTTTCGTATAGTTCAGGAACTATATTGAACATCTACCAAAAGTCCAGGGACCACATTGAACAAATTAAAAGTTTAGAGACTGCATTGAATATTAGCAAAAGTTCATGGATTATATTGAATAAATTAAAAATTAAAGGGGCCACATTGCATATTGAGCTAAATTTCAGGGACTATTTATATCATTATCTCTTCAAATTTCGTAAGGCAATTCATCCATTAACAGATACAAATTTCCATTTCGTGACTCTTCCACACCGTGCACATTTATATAAATAAAAATCTTAGACGGTAGTACTTTTTATTTCTCGGTACATTTTTGTTGGGACTGCTATTTTCTCTCCTGGCTCGTCATAGTCCATTAAATGTTCCAATGATAGTTGTTTAAGTTGACAAAGTTGAACACCACTAGTCCCATACTGTGCGTTCAGCCTTTTTTTCTTTGGCAGGTAAAAAGGTGGAGAGGGATAGCCGAAGCCGCCGACCTCCTCTAGACGTTGTCATAAGGGTCCTATATGTACGGGGATGGTCGAGTTGATACCTACTCTGCATCACACATGACCCAAAAATCCAAACTCGACAAGCCCGTCACCGCAACTCCACAAATTACTCTGCATGAGATATGAGACGGTTAGGCAACAACAACACAAAAAGTTCGGAGGCTTGCCTGTGATACCAATCGAATTTGCGATGCCGTGGAAAACAGGCGACCTGTTTACTATTAGGCCAACTATCTCGTGATTATCACGCGTTCGGCTTTGATGATTACAATTCATTTTAGGATAGGTGACGGTAAACCCCTATTGACTAGACTTAAGCTCAAAAGATTTTGAAGAGAAGTGGGGGATCAATCGTGTCACTTTCATGAAGTTGAATGCATGTGACTTTCATCCACCATTGTTTTGGTCCCTAAAGAAATAATTCTACCTACCAAAATTTACCGACAAACAGTAAAGCCAGAATCTGTCCATAGCACAAAGCAAACCCAACACACTGCTTTCAATCCCCAAACTTCAACTCAAAAGTTCTCTAGAATCCACGTAACTGGTTTACATACTTGGTTTCACACAAGGCAGTTCGTATCGATTTGAAGAAATTCAGGATTTTTTTCTAAGATTCCGCACAAAAGCAACAGGTCTCCTGTGAATTTTGAGATGTGACAAAGTCAAATGATTCTCTGTAGTTCCTCACAATTATAGGACGGACATATCAAGCACAGAAGCCAGCCTACATGTGTGCTTCTCTAGGGATGTCCTATGATTCTTGGGTTGAGGTCCACATGCCCTTTTTAAAGGAGAGGACTTCATGGAAGGAGATGACCACATTGGAATATCAGAATCATCAATTCAAACCCACCATTTTTCAGAATTAGGGAAATGTGAAATGTTAGATGAAGCTGAAAAGAAAATAATCGAGATACATTGGAATATTCGTGGCGAAGATTACCCGATTAGTCCTAAGCCTTCATGCAAAATTCCACTGCAGTCCTTCCGGTCAATTTTAGCCAGAAATTGCTGACGTGCGGTCCTACAACGTCAGCGATTTCCCGAAAAAATTAATCGGAAGGACTATATTGAAATTTTGAGCAAATGGTTAGGATTGAATTGGCATAATTAGAAATTTTGGGACTGCATTGGCATCCACACAATAAGTTTAAGACTAAATGGTCAATTATCCATCTGTTCATGCCTCCATAGAAAGAAACATATCACGGGTTATTAATTAACCTACCAAAGACACAAAGGGTCAAAAGAGTGGAGCACAAGCATGTGCTGTGATGGCATTTTGAGCTGCCATTTCATTTCATTTCATTTCATTCTATTGGTTGGACCAACATGCTGCCCTTTCATTTAGTGGGGTGCTCTCTCTTATCCGAGAGTTGACTCAACCTAATGCAATCAAAAAGCCAAAAACATGTGTAGTGATGGATGGGGTACTAAAGCTGATCTCCGTAAGACCAGCTGATAATCACGTGTTTGCACTCTGTATAGAGAGTGAAACCACACTATAAAAGGGACCCGAGCAGATCAAACTCTCTCTGCGTACCGTTCTTCTTTCTCTTTCTGAAACAATGGATCGCAGTGCAGCTCCAGTTGCTGTTGTGGGGAATGGCCATGGAGCCGCGAAGGTCTCTTCAAGCCCTCGAAAAGGAGGATGGAGTGCTGCCATTTTCATCATCTGTGAGCCATTCATTTGCCATCTCTGTTCCGATCGTGAGAATTCTCTCTCTCTCTCTTGTCGACCCTTTTGCTTTTCGATCGCAGTCGTCGAAGTGGCCGAGAGGTTCGCATACTACGGACTGGCCGGAAATCTGATCATGTACCTCACCAACCATCTCGGCGAGACCATGGCCGTCGCCGCTCAGAACGTGAACGTGTGGGTCGGCGTGTCGGCGATCTTCCCGCTCGTCGGAGCATTCGTCGCCGACTCTTACCTGGGTCGGCTCAGGACCATCATCATATCCTCCCTCATTTACCTCATGGTACGTGGTCTGGACATTAAAAGTAGTGTCCCTTTCTTGACGCCCTATTCTTGTTTTCTGGTTGTTGCTTCTTTTCGATGACTTCGTGGTCGAGCTACAAAATGGAATTATTTGTCAAAGTCAAAAGCCTCAAAATCTGTTTTTCATCCGACCGTCGTACGTCCGAACCGAATTATTTTTCAATAAGAGTGGATTGTACAGTAACTAGCTATAGGAGTTGCTTCAATGGATTATCTGGGTAATTTCTAGGAATTTATTTCTTTGTGCACCAACTAGTCCGTCTTCATGTGAATCTTTCGCGAGGCGAAATCTCCTTCTAATTCCTTTTCTTTTCGGGTGTGCTTTCTTCCCTCGTTTTGAACTGTGTACAGGGCATGATTTTCCTGATATCGTCGGTGTCCGTGATACCGAGCGGCTACCGCAAATCCACCTTCTTCACGGCGCTGTACGTGATAGCGGTCGGAGAAGGCGGGCACAAGCCATGCGTGCAAACGTTTGCCGCCGACCAATTCGACGAGGACTTGCCGGCAGAGAAGATGGCCAAGAGCTCCTTCTTCAATTGGTGGTACCTGGGCATCACCGTCGGCGCCACGACCTCCGTCTTCCTCATTCCTTATTTGCAGGTAGCTAGCAAGCGCGTTGCTTGCGCTGCTTCGGCACATTCCGACATTTACTCAACTTCATAGATAAAGTTAATTTCAAAGATATAAAGATTAGCTTACATCTACTATACAGTATCATTCCTTATAATTTTCCTTAAGAGTATTTGCTTGATAAGATAGTAAATACAGGATCAGTATCAGTATTTATGAAGCCCAAATCTGGGCTGTTCATTAATGTAGATACTCCATCCATGAGTGGAATCATGGGCATTTATTGTGAATCTCGACTCCGTAAATCTCATGAAAGATTTTGTTTGCATCAAGGACCATGTTGGGTGGAGTGTGGGCTTCGGGTTGCTGGCCGGAACGGTGGCCATGGGGTTGGCAATTTTCCTGATGGGCCTGAAAGCGTACCGGAGGCAGGGCCCCCTCGGGAGCCCATTCACGAGGGTCGCGCAGGTGTTTGTGGCGGCGGCTCGGAAGTGGCGTGCGGAGGAGGCGGGCGAGGGCCGCGACGTACGTTACTACGACGAGGACGAGCAGAGCGTGGCCGGCGAGGGAGGCCGAAATGAAGCCCGGTGTTTGGCCCGCACTCCGCAGTTCAGGTATGTGGGCTTTCGATTTCCTTTTCTGGATCAGCATGGCCCATGGAATAGATTTGACAGCATCTATGCTCGAGTTACATGTAGAAAAAGAGATAATCAATAAGAGAAGACCTGTAATATAGTGTTTGAAATATTGATTACTTTCATAGAATGGGGCAAGTTAACTTGAGGGAAAACTAATGTTTTGTAAGATGAACGGGGCTGATGAACAAGTCTTGCATGCGTGTGTATCTGGACACTTGAACATGCAGGTCATTGGACAAGGCGACGGTGATCGACGCCGTCGACGCGACGAGCAAGGCCAGGAATCCCTGGCGGCTGTGCACCGTGACCCAAGTCGAAGAAGCCAAGCTGATCCTGCGCCTCACCCCCATCTGGTTCTTTTGCCTGATGTTCACGGTGGTCCAGGCCCAGATGCACACCTTCTTCACCAAGCAAGGCTCCTCCATGTCCAGGTCCCACTTCCGCCTCTCCCCCGCCTCGCTCCAGGGCCTTGTCGGCCTCACCATCCTCGTCTCCGTCCCGCTATACGACGGGGTCTTCGTGCCCCTGGCTCGTAAGATCACCAAACACCCCTCGGGAATCAGCATGCTGCAGCGGATCGGGATCGGCCTGTTCTTGTCGATTCTCAACATGGCGATCTCGGCGATGGTCGAGGGCAAAAGGGTAACGTCAGCAGCATCTCCGCGTGTATACTCATCTCAATCATGAGAGCGTCGATTTGAATTCTTTCCTTTTCTGGTAGCAGGTGCAAGTAGCAATCAAGCATGGCCTAGCGAACTCCCCCAAAAAGACGGTGCCCATGAGCGTGTGGTGGCTGCTTCCGCAATACATGCTGTGCGGGCTATCCGATGTGTTTGCCATTGTGGGACTCCAGGAGCTGTTCTACGACCAGATGCCGGAGGAGATGAGGAGCGTCGGAGCAGGTCTATTCATAAGCGTGGTGGGGATCGGGAGCTTTGTGAGCAGCGCCATCATAAGCGTCGTCCAGGCGACGAGCTTGAGAGCTGGGGACGAGTGGCTCGGCGACAACCTCAACACGGCGCACCTCGACTACTACTACTGGGTCCTGGCCGGGTTGAGCGGGTTGAATTTGTGCGCTTACGTGGTGGTCGCTAGCAGGTTTGTGTACAAGAGAGTCAATGATCACTTGGGTTTCAAAGGCGAAGTGTAAAAGGCAATGTTTGTGGTTTGATAAGAGAGCAATACAGATGTAGAACTCAATGTCTAGCTACCTGTCGTAGAGTAAAGAAATGGAGCATTGAGTCACTTTTGCCCATGTTTGGTCAAACGAGAAATGCATACACTTAGCCATCGCAGATTCACACATCTGCTACGGCACTTTCAAGATGATATCTACTCGAACTTGATTCGGTGATGCTACCCGGATCTTGCATATTAAGAAGAGCAAGATCTCAAAGTTCGATACAAAGATAAGAAACTAATTTTCGGCCAAAGTGGAAATCAGATCATCCTAATCACTTTTGAGCGGGCGACAGTGACGATTAGGAGCGAGCATCGGTTCAGCCCTAATTCGAACTCAACCGAATTGGCCAATTCTGGACGATTCCCGATTCCCAAAATTTGGAACCGTCGTTTCTTGATTATAGGTGCGGAATCGAGCTGCTCGGACCGATATGTTATATATATAATTTTTTTCTCTCTTAAAAAGTAAAAGATACTTGGGTTACATTCTTTTTTTACCTTTAGCAGAAATAGAATAATGCCATGTATATGCATTCTTTCATTATTTAACATATGTTAATACGATATCCTGTAATAGAGTAATGACTACAAAATCCAAGAGAAAACTAGTCGATCGTCAATTAGCCCCGCACCCCTGATCATGTAAACATTTATTTAACGAAAAATCGAAAATAATGCTCTTTGTTTCCTTTTAATGTTGAAAAGCTCCCACTTGTAACTCTTTAATGGAAAAGATGCATACGGAAGGCATCATAAAATAATGCAGGTACAATTGCTTCAGTAGATGGTGGAAGCAATATCACCAAATGCAAGCAAAAAGCCAACACCAAACTTTTGAAGTTCAAGCCAGACAAAACAGAAGAAACCGAACAAAACCAAAACAAAAAGGAGGAATAACCGATTCCAGGACTGATCTCGGAACCAGACCGGTCGGGCCGGTTCTTAATTAGACCGGGGCCGGGTCAGGGTCCGGGTCCGGTTCAAGGGAGGAGGAAACCGATCCCTCCTCCCCCAGCGGCGATCCGACAGAGGGGGGGTGGGCCCCACATGGGAGATCCGACCCACGTGGCGTGACAACGGGGAGGCGTTGCGTTTGACTCCCAGGCGCAAAACAGTCCACAGGTCAATGCCAGGGGGGGAGGAGCAGCAGCCAAGAACCCTATAATCTCTCGCCTCGCGTCGCTTCGCTACACTTCACTCTCTCTCTCTCTCTCTCTCTAGACTCGTCCTCTCTCTCTCTCTCTAGACTCTCTCTCTCGGTATCAACCATTTTTCACTTTTGCCTTTTCCTCCTTTTTCCTGCATCCTCCTCCTCCTCCTCCTGCCCGCAACACTCTACATTCACTCCGTCTCTCTCCCCCTCCCTCCCTCCCTCCCTCCCTCTCCCTGTGATTTTCCCGCATTTTCCCCTTCCCTTTCTCGGCGCGCCAAATCCTCGGGCGAAACGGGACTCGGGTATCTTAGTAAACTCCAATCTCCCCTTTGTCATCTTCCCCCTTGCGATTTTCCTTCCCACGGTCGGCCGAAAGCTCCCCTCGCTCCAGCAGCTTCGTCCCTTAGGTCCCTTCGGATTCCCGCGGCCGCCGGATTGAGGAGCGGCGATCGGCATTCCCTCCCGAGCTCCCCGGTTTTCCCGGTTTCGGAGCGCGCCGCGGTCTCGATCTCGGCGGAGCTCGCCGCGCTCCCCCCGGGGCGGGGGGACCGTCTCGGCAATGTGGGGAGTCTGATTGGGTCCGGGGGGAGGTTTCGAGGGGAGGAGGACGAGTGGAGATGGCGAGGCGGACTGTTGCTTTTCGTTTCGGAGGTTCCTGCTGCGTCGGTGTTGTGGAGAGGTAGCCTTGGAGGTTCATGCGCGGCGATGAGGATGACTGCCGCGGATCAGTCCAAAGTGGGGCCGTTGGAGAGAGATATTGAGCTGGTAAGTGCTTTGGTTGTTGAAGTGATCGGAGTTCGATGCTGTCCTTTAATCTGTGGTCGAGGTTGAGCACTGAGTAGTGATTTTCGTTTTGGTCGATGGCTGTAGTAGTCAGCGGTTTGTGGAAATGACAGTTGAATTTTTTTTTTTTTTCCTGTTTAATAGCACTGGCCATGTGCTAGTTTAATTAGTTGTAGTGCTTGTTGATGAGATGGCTTTCCTTCTAGATTGTTAAAAGAAGATCGAATCATGGTGGCTTAGTAATTTGGGAGAGAGAAATGGTTGTCCGGTATCTCTGCTAAAGAAAGCTTATTTGTCCTCTAATTTTCCTTATAATTGCCAATGGCAAACTCTTTCGCCAATGTGAAATTGAAGTGCAACTGAGGAGCCCTTACTTTACGGCTCGTGCCTGATAGAATTGGTTGTTTCGAATTTGTAAACATCACCTACTGCTTTAGGTCCCCTAATTGAACATAGGATGACATTGGCACGTGCTAGCACGAAACAAGTAACAATCTTTTGGTACTGCATCCAACCGAGATTTCCTGTGCCATATTCTCCTATATCAAACGAACCTTTATGCGGTTTTGTTTCGGTGCTATTTTAGACTTTCAGAGATTTTTATAAACTTGATTAGGAATATTTGTTCGCCATACGACAGGCAATTACTGCGTTGAAAAAAGGTGCATGTCTGCTCAAGTACGGGCGCAGAGGGAAGCCCAAATTTTGTCCCTTCAGGCTGGCCAATGTAAGATTACGCCTTTCCCTTTTCTTCCTTGATATCTGACATCCACCTTGCTTCGCTCGTAACAAAATTCGCTGGTGTTCGGTGTATGTTTCTCCAATGGAACTTTTGAACATGAATCGAGCTATATATGGAAGTATTGCAAACCTCTCTCTGCAAAGTTGCCTCGGTGCATTATATGCATATTATCGACTTCTTTTTTTGCATTATTTTTAGACGTTCCCATGATAGTACATGGTGATTTATCTTGGATCCTGTTATGTAGTCATGATTCTAGTTTTTGCAGCCTGGGGTGAAATGCAGGTGGAAACTATCTAGACTTATAAGATATATCGGATTCATTGGCCACGCTGTAGAACGGCTAGGACTTAGATGGTGGCTCCAACATGCAGAAAAGTTATATGCATGCAGGGTACATCTCTGCATCGCATTGAATCTAGATCCATTCTGAAATCTAATGTGAAAGTGATGAAAGTCTACGTTTGTTATCTTTGATCGATTCACTGGTGTTAGACCCACACTGCCATGGGACTTCTTTTGGGCTCCTCCATGTGCCGTAATTCATATCGAAAAGGGGTGCGTCTAACATATATGTACATAGGTATGCATATAATTAAGTATTGTTGTTATCGTATTTCTACATACACATACACTTGTAGTCTCTTGATGTACAATCACTGGAATCATGCCATGCCTTTCCAATTATCCGGCCAATTATAACATTCTCCACAGATGAGTTATTTCTAGGTTGTACTCTCTAGTGGTTTATGAAACTGACTACATTCATAAATCTTTGCAGGATGAATCTGTTTTAATATGGCTCTCAGGCAAAGAAGAGAAGCATCTGAAGATAAATCACATCTCCAGAATAATACCAGGGCAGCGGACAGTAAGTTTCTTTTTAGGTTCTCTGAATATCTGCACAACCAATGTTGATGAAATATCTTGTCAGCAATGAGGAGAATAATAAGGGGAATAAAATTCAAGGTCTAATGTTGCATCCATTATTCCAAAATTCAGCCTGGACAATGATTGTTGCATTAAAATATTGAGCTTCAGTTCAGCCTGATACCTTAGATAAGTAAGATACAGCTAGGAAAAATATGCCATTTGCACAAATTATTCCAAGTAAAACAATCTTTTTGTCATTTCAACCAAGGTTGTCAATGCTTCCTTGCGTCATGCAGAATCTTCCAGCACCCGAAGAAAGTCCTTTGTAGTTTTTGTGATCTTTTTGTAGTTCTTAAGATTTATACGTGTATGATTTCCCTGTGATGCTCTTTCTCAAGGTCTTTTCCACCATTTCTTGCGTGTAAGTTGGTGAACATATTTCTATGAAGTTCTTAGATGCTTTTAATAGACTAGCCAGATGCGTTTCATGTATGTGTTTTCATGAGAAAGCCGTATCATGCTTTCAGTGCTTTTGGATCGTGTTTCTCCATGCACCAAGTGTTTACCTAATGAAGAATGTTCATTTGTTAATTAATTGGCATCCCCTTGATGTGGTTTCATGAAGAAAAAGCTGATGTAGAATCTCGGTGCCCCCTCCACATCAAAAGAATGTTCTTCTCTACGTCCTGATATACATACTAATTACTCATCATCTTGTTCTGACAGCCAATATTTCAGAGATATCCGCAACCTGAGAAGGAATATCAATCATTTTCACTCATATATGACGACAGATCGTTAGATTTGGTAATTTTTTTATTTATTTAATGTTTTTGTTCGTTTGTCTCTTTGTGGATCTTTAATTCCATCGTTCCATCCATTGAATTAATAATTTGACTTCTAGGCTGACATTTGTTCATCTTTTAACGCTCTCTTGTTAATGTTCGTCAGATTTGCAAGGATAAAGATGAAGCTGAAGTTTGGTTAACTGGTCTAAAAGCACTAATAACACGTCGCAATCATCAGAAGGTGAGAGGAGAATCAAGAAGTGGAGTTTCATCTGAAGCAACTAGTCCAAGAGCACAAGGGCAAAGTAGTTCAGCATTTAGCTCTCCATTTGCTAGTGGTGATAGTTCGCAGAAGGTGCATTGCTTTCTTCAAGTTTTGTGCATATCTAGACAGTTTTGCATGGAGATAAAAAACTTTATTTTTTGGTTCTAGGATCAGACCGACAATTCGTGCCTTCATACGCCAGTTGAAAGTCCGACAAAAATCGGTTTATCGAATGGATTGTCAGATGTGTCCTTATGTGCTCTTCCTCCCAAGATTTTCTATCCTTCAGAAACTGCATCTGGCTCTATTCATTCTCGCTCATCAGGGGGATCAGATGGAATGACTGGACGCATAAATGGAACCAATGTGGATGCATTTAGAGTGAGCTTATCAAGTGCTGTCAGTTCATCAAGCCATGGATCTGGTCATGATGAGGGTGATGCTTTAGGGGATGTTTTTTTCTGGGGGGAAGGCACTGGAGATGGCATTATGGGGGGCGGGGTCCATAGGATTGGTAGTTCTTCTGGGACTAAGGTGGACTCCTTGTTTCCCAAAGCCTTGGAATCTGCTGTAGTCCTTGATGTTCAGAATATAGCTTGTGGTAGACAGCACGCTGCTTTAGTTACCAAGCAAGGAGAGGTTTTCTCCTGGGGGAAGGAAATAGGAGGCAGGCTTGGACATGGTGTAGATTCTGACGTTGCACATCCAAAGCTTATAGAGGGACTCAAGAATGTGAATGTCGAGCTTGTTGCCTGTGGAGAGTACCATTCTTGTGCCGTTACCCTGGGCGGTGATCTATACACATGGGGTGGAAATTCTAGCAATTTCGGGGTCCTTGGACATGGAAGTGAATCAAGTCAGTGGGCTCCCAAAAAGTTAAATGGACCCTTGGAAGGAATACACGTCTCATCTATTTCATGTGGACCATGGCATACAGCGGTTGTAACTTCTGCAGGCCAATTGTTTACTTTTGGTGATGGAACTTTTGGTGTATTAGGACATGGAGATCGGACTAGTGTGTCAGTACCCAGGGAAGTGGAGTCCCTTAAGGGTCTTCGCACTGTCCGTGCAGCATGTGGTGTTTGGCACACTGCTGCTGTTGTTGAAGTTATGGTTGGGTCTTCAAGTTCCAGTAACTGCTCTTCTGGGAAGCTTTTTACCTGGGGCGATGGAGATAAAGGTCGACTTGGACATGGCGATAAGGAGGCAAAACTAGTGCCCACTTGTGTTGCGGCACTTGTTGAACCAAACTTCTGTCAGGTGGCTTGTGGTCACAGCCTAACTGTTGCACTAACCACGACTGGCCATGTTTACACTATGGGAAGCCCTGTTTATGGTCAGCTAGGAAATCCACAAGCTGACGGAAAGCTTCCTACCCGAGTTGATGGAAAACTCTTGAAAAACTTCGTCGAAGAAATAGCTTGTGGTGCTCATCATGTTGTAGTTTTAACTTCAAGAACGGAGGTTTATACTTGGGGAAAGGGCTTGAATGGTCGTTTAGGTCATGGGGATACGGATGACAGAAATTCCCCAATTCTTGTTGAGGCTTTAAAAGATAAACAAGTGAAAAGTGTAGTCTGTGGTGCTAATTTCACTGCAGCTATATGTCTTCACAAATGGGTCTCAGGTGTTGATCAATCAATGTGCTCGGGTTGCCGTCTTCCATTTAATTTCAAAAGAAAACGCCACAATTGTTACAATTGTGGACTTGTCTTTTGTCACTCGTGCAGTGGTAAAAAGTCGCTCAAAGCTTCCATGGCACCAAATCCTAACAAAGCATATCGAGTGTGTGATAGTTGTTTTGGAAAGCTTACTAGATCCCCTGACACTGACTCATCGTCTCATTCATCTCTGAGTAGGAGAGGAAGTATGAATCAGGGGCTAAATGGACTTATCGAAAAGAATGATAAATCTCTTATTCTGGTTGGAAGTAATTTTTCTGTAGATTTAAGTAAGAAAGTGGGGACAGAACCTTCCAGTAGATACAAGAAGCTGGATGTTAATGTAGGTCGTGTCTCACCTGTTCCAAATGGGGTTTTGAACAATGGATTATTGAACAGCTCGAAGTCTTGGAACCCAGTGTTTGGAACGTCCAAGAAGTTTTTCTCTGTTTCTCTTCCTGGATCAAGAATTGTTTCTAGAGCAACATCGCCAACATCCCGACGTTCAAGCCCACCTCGTGCTGCAACACCGACTCGTTCAGTTCTTACGCCATTCAAAGTTGTTGATGATGATGCCAAAAAGACAAATAGTAGCCTGAGTGAAGAAGTTCTTAAGCTGAGGTCTCAGGTATGGTAATCTTTTGCAACTTCAATCTGTGTGGGGAACCTTTCCAACCGTTCTTAGTTATATGGACTTTGTTTTAGCTCGTAAGCAAGAGCTTGCCTCTTTAATGGACATAGTTTGGTGAATACCTTGTCAAGTTAGTCATATTGGATTCTTAGGCGAAATAGGAAAAAGTTGCATTGGCAGAACCAAATAACTTGTAATTGCAAGTATTGTGTTTTCTACTAATGGCACCGAAGGTTTTGTGAGATTGGACATTTCTTTCAGTGCAATTTCTCACCTGGGTTGTCTGGCTTGTTTTATTAATGGGTCTATGACCCTTAGTGATGGGACAGGAGCCAAACACAAGAAAGTTCATATTTATTAGGACCTGGCACTTCACTAGCTAGATACAACATGGAAAGCACTTGCATGACAGGATAACATTGGCTTTTGCAGTTGCCCTTCTTTGTTGTTTTGTAAGCATAACTCTTTTGCTCCATATATATATGCTAGTTCAACATAGAGATGGAGTTTATGAGATTAGTGTTTCTAAGCGCTCTGTACTTTAGCTTTGAGAAATGCCCTTTTATAATTTGCCTATGATTGTGATGCAGGTCGAAGATCTCAATCGAAAAGCACAACTTCAAGAAGTTGAGCTGGAACAAACTAGAAAAGAGCTGCAAGAGGCTCTCATGATTGCTGAGCAAGAAAGTGCAAAGTGTAAGGCAGCTAAAGAAGTAATTAAGTCCCTCACGGCCCAGGTAAGCAATTGCCTCGAAGTCTTTGATCAGTTTATGATATTTCAGAGGGCAGCATCATTTGTTAGAATCAATTTGGGTTTTGGTGAAAGTTGGAAACTCAAGGAGGATTGTTTTCATAACTTTAGGTAGTCTATAGTCTTTTTGTTATAGCACCTAAGAATCCTTTTTCCCTCAGTTCTCTTGACAAATCTGGAGGGTTAAAACGAGCAAGTTTGAATCTAAAAGAAGGAAACATAAAATTTCTCTTCTGACTTGCTTGGACATCAATTACGGTGGAGGAATAACTAGATCTTCAAATTCAGAAAAGCAGGCAGTCAGAGAGTTGTGTGCTTTTATCATACTTACATACACACACACACACACATATATAATTATATATATTTCCTTTTCAGATGAAATGTCTCTTCAACATTATTGAATGTTGAAATATCGGTAAGCTTTTTTTATTCAATGATATTGAAATGTTGATAAGCTTATTGAGACATTATGATGTGAGCAATGTACTGTCCATAGAGTATCAGTGCAGCTCCACTTTTCACACATTTTTTGCAATCGCCGTCAACCTTTTAAGATCATTCAGCAAGTAACATCTCCATGGTTTTTCCTGGGCATTACTGAAAGCTTAGAAAAATAGCTGTCCTTAACAAACAGCACTGACTACCATTACTTGAGTTGCTGTTGTCTCCTACCTCTGGCGGGAAAATGTCACAAATTAAATGTGCATTTGCTCCTTTTCTTATGCAGTTGAAGGACGTGGCTGAAAGGTTACCTATGGGAACTGCTAGAAATTCCCCTCCCTCCGGTTTGTCTAGCCTTATTCTTCCCAATGATGACAAGTTCAGTGGAGCCAGCGAGCATGCGAGCTATACTGTTAGTTGCCATGAACCAGATGAGAATGGATCGAATGGGCTTGTGATGCCTGACCCCTCAAGTGACAATGGTAACTCCATTTCAAAGCACCCTGAGCAGACATCTGAAGCAATGGCGAGGAACAAAACCAGAGGGCCAAAAGTTGAATCTGGGAACGGAGATTGGGTTGAGCAAGACGAGCCAGGTGTTTACATCACCTTTGTGTTGCTGCCCGGAGGCATCAAGGATCTTAAGCGTGTCCGTTTCAGGTATATGGAACTGATAAACCAACACTCCCCTGCAAACCTCTCTCTATCTCTCTCTCTCTGTCTCTCTGTCTCTCTGTCTCTCTCTCTCTCTCTCTCACACACTAAGGATCATGTTTGCAAACTGAAAACAGAGCTTCTAGGTCACAAATGACTGGATATTCTAGTATAGACTGGAGAGCACTATACACTTGATCTTTTACCGTTTGTTACCTAGGATTAAACTACTCGTTCATGCTCGGCAATTGCTAACCGTTTCTGATTTTCTTCTTCTGTCTGCTTTAGCCGGAAGCGCTTTACCGAGAAACAAGCAGAACAGTGGTGGGCAGCTAACAGGAGTAGAGTTTATCAGCAATACAATGTGCCGATGGCAGACAAGTCGTCCACTGTTTTCGGGAAAGAAATGCTTGCTCACTGATATGAGGTGGAAGCAGGCTTCAGGGAAAAAAAAGAAAAACATGAAGTTGGTGATCCTCCGGAGGGTCATTTTATCTCGAGGAAAGAATTAATCTCTTCAATTTTTGTTTCTTGAGCGAGTGATGGCGTGTTTGTTTTTTCACCCCCTCCGCCTCATCCCCCCGTTCCGCCGCCGCCCATTTGCCCGTCCTCTCTGCCACGTAATTGACCCTTTGCAATAGGAAATCAGAATTTGTAAATTCTTTGTAAGTAGGCCTGTGCACTTAACTCAGAACACGCTGAATTGTAAATTTGTCACATGAATCCCAATCTTTTCTTGGTCCGTCGGACGACCCTCCAGGTGATTTCCTTGCGGATGATTATTTCAAAGTTTCCAGTGATCGGATTTCATTGATTTATTTGGATTTGCTAAATTTACAATTCAGCGTCGAATAGAACCAACGCTGATATAACATCTTCTTACAAGTTACAACAGTCAACTTAATAACATCAGACATGGCAACTTGGGAGTTATTTCTTACGTTAAGCAATAGAAAATGTACCGACATTGATTTGTCGAGGTCTACTAACAAGTCGTAAAGGAACTTAGAAGATGATTAACTTTTTATAAGTTTTGAAACATCCAAGCAAAAAGAATATCAACAAAAAGTATTGACAGCTACTGATGATTCCTAGAGAACGAATGAAGAAGAATATGATCTCCCCCCACGCCAGAAGCTAAAACTCAAGGGTTGCCTTGGATGAGGTAAACCAATTAAAACTGTCAAAAATTAGTTCATGAATCACATTTTGTCCGAATACATTTGAGACGGGATAAATAATTGCTTCCAGCAAAGTCATGCAAGGTACGATGAGCTCGCTGTCCCTCGTGATCAGGCTTACATGCTTGCTCTTTCAAGAATCTTCTACACGAATCTGCATCCTGAAGGAACATGAGTGACCACAAGAAACAGGTGAGAAATCAGTGCAAAACCGGAGAAAAGTGTCTGATAAGGAAAATGGAAACAAGCAGAAAAGGCGAACTGTTCTAAATGGACCGAGGCTCAAAGAAGATATCATAATGGAAGTAGACTACAAGAAACCAAGATGCGGTATACAGCCCTTGCTCCTGATGAAGGCCGTGAAGAAGATTCATGGACCCACTACTCCGAATTGGTGGAAATATAGACGCTACGTGTACAGTCAACATCCCTGCAAGAGTAATCTCACGTACAGATACACATGCAGTCCATGCAAAAGATATGCTCAAGAACAAATCATACACTGAATTATTCAGAAGCACACTTTCATTCATGAAGACGATATGGTTCAACACAATTGGTTCATTAAAGATCCAAAAGAGTAGATGTCTTCCAATGTTAATAACATGAACTTCACGTCCCCAAGCTCTTTCCTCCCTCCCTCTTACATTATCCTGTCAACCAACTCTACTTCTGAAGATTGAGCAGAGATTCTTCCCAAAGAAATACCTACATCTCACCCAAATAAAGTAGACCGCCACTTCCAGTCAAGTCAAAGAAAAGAATACCTGTAAAAATTCCAACATTTGTTGTTCAATAGTGCCACACATTGCCAAAGTTTCCACGTAAATAGGACGAGTAGCACCCATTCGATGAGCACGACTGATAACTTGCTCTTCCATGCTGAGAAAGTTCAAAGAGAGAATAAGTCCCATTTCCACCAGTAAAATTCAGTAAATAAATTCAGTAATAAGAGACTGGAATAAATGAGGGCCATATAAATGTAATATCATTAGTCTACTTAGATTGTGAAGGTAAGATAATGTAATCAGAACTATAGAGGCAACTTGAAGGGCACAACCAGAACTCATATAATGTAATATCAGTAGGAATTGATCTATGGATGTGTTGCATCTCGCATATTCAATAGTGTTCAGATTCTGCCTAAATAATTGATTACCGAAGTCAAGTGAAACTTCATGAATTAAAAAGGACATACAAAAGACAAAAAATTAGTGCTAGCAAACAGTTCAGTACCATTCAGAATTCTCACACACTTCTCGCACAAAGGTTAGAGAAACTGACATTTTAAGCATCTGTCCAAATGGTAAGTGAATATTTGTATACAGAGTAAAAAATGGAGTCATGCTTATATCAAGCTCATGGCATAAGGGGCGATGCGTGTTTTTTCTTCCCCATGCCCAGGAAGAGAAATTTTAATTTTTTGAACCACCAAAAGTCAGCAGCAGTTGAGGTGCATTGGCATCTTGGTTCACTGGAAAGACAGTACTCCATGCATGTAGTGTTCAGAAAAGGAATAGGTGATAAGCAATAAAAGAGTAACAGATGAGTGCCAACTGATGAGGGCAAGATAAATCCCACGATGTACCTCTTATCCCAAATGGGTTCCATTAAAAATACATGTGTCACGAAACTCAAGTCTAGACCCAGTGCAGCACTTCCATCCATTAAGAGGGCCATGCAGCTCGCATCATGCTGGAATTTTGCGAGTGCCTTCATCTGAATAAGTAAAGAGTATATTAGTTTCACTGCATCAAATACAGTTTGACCGCATCAGATATTTTTGTCCGTTTAAAGTAGCTTTATTTACTTTTATTATATCACGAAGAGCATGCGCATGACTTTTTTGAAACACAAAATGCTTGAAAATAAAAAAATTTACATAAAACTGATATGTAAATTTGCATATAATTTTTTTAATAAATTTTTAAAATTTCAATGCTATTTTGAATTATGTTAGAAAAGTGAAAAGTCGCTTTTAGCTTTTCTTTTAGCCAAAACAAACACGCCTGAATAGGAAATTACTATTGTAAATTTTGTATAGACCACCGCCAATTGCTCTAAATGCTTGACATTGCCCCTCATGTGTAGGCATAATGTAATATTTAAATACTATAACATTGCCCCTCACGTAAAGGCTGGACTTTGACCTAAGACTAAAACATGAAAATATATAATGGGGAGGAAAACAACAGGCCTGAAAAGATTTGAACTCAAAATCTCCTGATCGGATACCATAAAATTTTGTGGAATCACTAACAACCGGTTTAAAGGCTTAAGTTGTCAAATGAAGGTATTATTTAAAATTTGAATACTCCAACAATTACTAAGACAAGAGCTTACCTTGTTGCTCGAGTGCATTGGACTATACATGCCAGCAAAACTAATACCAGCAAACATCAACTGGTCAAAGAAATAAAGCACATGGTCATCACTAATATATTAAAAATCACAGAGTCATTAAAATATGACTGCAAATTATAAATACCTGCTGCTCAATTACATGTATATGCTCCAGAAACTGAGAGAAAATTATAACCTTCTCTGTGATTATCCTGTGTGAATCTGTCATAGAACTGGACTGATCACCCTGCGTTAATAATACCTTTGAGCTATTCGAAAGTGAAGGGTTTGCTTGCTCCTGAAAGTTCACAGCACTAGAGTTGCCACTTGTAAATTGACAACTACTTCCAGTGGCACCTTGCAACCTTCTCAATTTCTCTACCAGATAAGTAACTTTACTGCTTGATGTTGACTGCCAATCTGGATCCCAGTCATCCTGGATACCAACATACACTATGTCTCAGCATATATCATTCAAGGACCAAATAAATAAGCAGATGCAAAACTACATTTCGAGAAAAGACAGCCTGCCTGTTTGTAAGAAGGTTGTAACTCAATAAGATCTTTGGGCACAGGCCACTTCGGATTTGGATTTTCTGGCCGGGCTTCAGGAGTCTGCATCTCATATGAGTAACCACACCCAGGAACAGTACATCTTTCACTGCTCAACGCAACACAATCAAGGCAAAGGAGATGCTTACATGGGGTAATAATAGGTAGTCTACACCATTCCTCGCACCTAATGGGGGAAAAAACAGAGGAGTCCAGGTCAGTAATCTAAATAGCAATGACACAATCCACTAAGCCACGTGAAATGGCAAAAGCAGAAATTTACCTGAGGCAATCACCACCGCGGAGGAGATGATATTTTAGCAAAGCGTACTCTTCGGACAGAGGATCCAGACCATATTGCAATAGAATATCCATTGTCTCTTGAATATCCTCACCGGCATCCATTACTTTAATGTGTCCAGCAACACAGCAAGACAGCCTCACATTTCTAATAGTGGTACAACGGAACTTCCATTGCTTTGGATTTAACAAGCTCTCAACATGTGACGGATCATTCCAGTCAGCCATTAGTATATTGCGACGAACAGTAACTACCAATTCATTGTAACTTTTAGCGTGTTGCTCAGTGAAGTTAAGAAATGTAACTTTCTTTATGCAAGGTGGGATGGCCAGCAAATCTTTCTTTCTTGCACTTATCATGCACCTACAAAGTACTTCCAGCAAGCGTGATCGACCCTCCTCCATCTCTGCTTCAAATGGCCTGAGGATGCCCGTTTCCCATGATTTCTGATTCTGCCCATATGCTTCCTCATGAAGGAACCTTAACATTATTTGAAGATGCGACAACTGACTGCTGGGTGTGTTCGGGGTGGGAGTTCCGGTCAGTATCCAACGACTGCAAGCCATCAATGATATAGCCATTTGCAGTTTATTTGTTAAATTAAGACTTGACCCCAGAGTGTGTCCCTCGTCCAACATGATCCTAAGCCAATGCACTTCCTTCAGTACACTTCTCTTATGAGGAGCCCATTCTGCACTTAAACGGTTGAAGGTAGTTATAACGACGTCATAGTCCCATGCAAGGTTATGCGGAGAAATCCTTCTTCGGTCGGTCAAGACATAGACCCTTAATTGACTAGGTCTAACATGCTTCTGGATTTGAGTTTTCCAGTGGTCAACCAAATTTCGCGGAACAACTATGAGTGTAGCTCTGGACAAATATAACCTGACGGAATTCAACGGCTCAGAGAGAGCAGTTTTTAGAGCATGCACATCAAATTCCAAATGCTCAAGACTTTTTGGGTAGTGCCACCTGCAAACATTTTTTTCAATCCTCCTTAAAAGGCCAAATGATTGGAATATTTGGTGGTAGCCAGAAGCATATTGAACAGATACTGTACAAGGGCTTCTTAGACCGACAGTCTCCATTTGTGATAGTTTGTCCTGAGATAGATTAGCCAACCAATGGAGAGCTTTTCTAGTGTGGGAATTTATCAATGTATAGTGATCCTTAAGCACACTTTTGAAGAAACGTATATTTTCGTCCTTCCCCACTATTGTCCCTTTTGAACAAAAACCTCTTAAGTCAGTAATTGGTTGGGAATTATCCCAAGTTTCTTCTGGAGTGCTACAACTCTGATACATTGGGTCAGCATTCATACTGCAAAACCATGCAGTACCCACTTCAGCTACAAATTTCTCCGCAACCTTGCGCCACTTGTGACAAGAATTGCACTGGATCCATGTGTCGGTAAATATTGGAGAATCCATCATAACATTAGCCGGCCTCTTGCGACCATGTGGCAGCACTGATGGAGTACCGTCTAGCTTTTCATCAGAACTACAACTACCACCATCTTTCGCAGCATACTCCATTTGACTTGAGTAATGATTTCTATCTTCAAATTGCTCTTCGTATCTTGATATCAGATTTTTCCGAATGCGATTCAAGCTCCTGGTGCAGCGGTTCCCACCATCAGCAGGCTCTGAATACACAACTGGTGGTGTCGAACTTTGCTTGTCAAAAGCCATTGAACAAGCTCTTTTAGGTGAAGGACCACCCACATAACTACCACGAAGTTCATAATAACCGCACCTCTGATCTCCATTATGCTTACACCAAATCACCTGCTCCCCATCAGGTGGATCCGATAGTGTTCCCTGTGTTTTCAGAATAAGGGTGAGTGATGTTATGGTCTTGCCTAAACCAGGTTCATCGCAGAACATTCCCCCTCGGAAATCCTTGATCGTAGGCGCTTTCCCGGTTATGACTTCACCAGAAGCGGAATTCACAGAGAAAGTAAATCCATCTTCTGTTAAAAATTCTTTGTACAGAGGATGCAGCAGGGACTCCACATTCCGTTCACGCTGTAACATCCACTCAACTGCAGCCTGCTGGTGGGGAAAGAGTTTAAGTTTCACACATGGCATGATAGACGCAGCCAGGGACCTCAAACGTCGGCAAGTTGCAGCGACCCTAATAAGGTCTAATGGGGCTAACACTGTCAAAACACCAACAATAACATCATCAGGCAATTCCCAAATCCCAGATCCACGAGAGTTATTGTCTGGTTGTATTCTTGAAGAATCAAGACCCTCTCTTTTGGTTAGACTGGGCAAACTCTTGAAAATTTCATGAAGATCAAATAGCCTTTTCTTTGAAGATTCAGGGATAAGAGTATGCAGGTTGCATCTAAGAACATGGCAATCGGGGAGATTCCAGATGCTCTCGTCATGTGAACAAGCACTGTCAGAGTAATCTCCATTACGAAGCAGCGTACTCCTCTCTCCCCAGTCACACCTGCACAAAGGCATTTTTAACTTGTGCTAACAAGATCGACAAAAGCCAGATTTCTAATTACAATACAGAAAAACGTATGCTATGAATGAATCAAAATGCAATGCCAAAAATAGAAACTAGCAGCTCTAGCAGCCTTTCTCTCGACTGAGTCTACTCATTCCCAAAGGACCTATGAGTTCTTTTTAAGTAACATAAAGTATCCAGGTAGAAACCTCAAATGTCGGAAAAGGGCACCCGCTGTGGATCTCGAACGTGGGAACTGCCATCCGGACAAAACTGCAAACGGTAGGTAAACATCCACCAAGACTACGACTCTCGTCTCTCCGTGGTCATCCACCACAGCCCGGACCAACCGTGCCATTACGTTCAAGCACTTACCATTGGACAGCGCGTGAATCTGGCGGACTATGCTCATGCTCCCATGTACCAATCCAATTCTACTCGCTCTCCTCCTCCTAAAACCCCCGCCGCTCTCCCTCTCGAAAGCCTCGACTTTCACCGCTCCCCCAGGCGTCCATTCCGCGTCCATCAACGCCTCCGCATTCGAACTACGACCGCTCCCTCGCTCGTGACCCTCGCAGCTCCCAACCCCGCAGGGCAAACCGCCGCAATCCTCACGCGGCGCGTCGGCGCCCTCGCTTCCCGGGGTGCAAATCTCGCCGCCAACCGGCGCTTCCCCGGTCACATTCCCCTCGCACCGCCCTAGCCGGCCACGTCCGCCCGGCTTCTCGCCAGAAGCATCGCGATCGGAGAATTCCAGCCCCGGCCGCCTCGAATCGATGGTCGACAGCACGACGCCGCCCTCGGTCCGGAAGCCGACCTCGTCGCCTTCGCCGAAGAGGAAGCAGCGGGCGTTGCGCGGGAGGGCCCCGACAGGGGGCGGCGGCGGCTCGACCCTGAGGACCGCGCAGACGAAGCCGCAGAGCTTGTGGTCGCGCATCCACTCGTCGGAAGGCTCGCCGGAAAGCTCGCCGGAAAGCTCGCCGTCCATGTGCCTCGATCGATTGCGAAACTTTGAAGGGTGAAGCGCCAATGGATGGTGGCTTCACTGTGGTTTTGGGGGAAAAATAGAAGAAGAGATAGAGAGAGAGAGAGAGAGAGAGAGAGTCGCTTGTTTCGAGGACATGGGAATGCCCGAAACGGCGGCGTTTTTACGTCCCCCGGATTTGACCGTCGATTTAGGTCAACAATCGACGGTCAATAGGCCGTGGTATCTCTTTTTTATAAGTTTGCTTCTATAAGACTTTCCAATTTTGCAACTTACAAGATTTAAAAAAAATTTATATTCGGTTTTTTTGGGTTTTGTTTAGGATTAATATCACGAAAAATCTCAAACTGGTACTTTTGTGACAGATTTACCTCAAACTTGACATATATATATTTTTTATAAATTTGCTTCTATAAGAATTTCCAATTTTGTAACTTCCTTATGGTCATGACTCTCAAGATTAAATTTTTTTATTGCTCTTCTGATTCTTTTTTTTTATTTTTTGCTTTTGTTTATGCAAAACTTGATATTTTATCCTTTGCTTAGCACTCTCAAAAGGGAAATTTGAGACCGGGTCACTCTATGTATAAAGAGAGGAGATTTCCCCCATTTTAAGTTGGGTTAATACCTTTGACAAAAAAAAAATTGGGTTAATACCACGAAAAACTTCAAACTTATAGACTTATGACAAATTTATCAAAAACTAATATTTTAACTATCAAAAATTCAAAACTGGTATACATGTAACAAATTTACCCCAAAACTAATTTTTGATCACCATAAACCCTAAATTAGTACATTTGTGACAAATTTAACCTCTGTTAGTTTCCATTAAATTGGATTAATACCACAAAAAATCATAAACTAGTACACCTATGACAAACGGAGCGTAAAACCCAAAATTGGTACATTTATAAACTGTTACGTGTCATTTAACAAAGCAATTTGACAGTAAAATTTAACGGAAATCAAATAAAGGTAAATTTGTCATACGTGTATTAGTTTGGAGTTTTTAGTAGTTAAAACATTAATTTTTACCAGTTTTAAGTTTTTTGTGGTATTAACCCTTTTAAGTTAATAATAATCTCAGCGTCTTTCAAGATCCTTCGAAACATAATTTGGGTGACGAAAACATGCAATCTCCAATAGTGTAAAAAAATAAAAGTAAATTTGACCACTGTTTCTTAAAATCTTCCTCAAAAATTCGAAAATTTAAAATCCATTGAAAGACGTGATATAACTGTTCCTATGTTACCGATTACTTTATGTATCTATATTAATGCATTGCATATCCAATTTTTATTACCTTATCGAGCGTGGAAAGCGAAAGATGATTACGACACTTTTATTTGAATGCATTATTAGGGGTGAGCGAATCCCGGTCCGGTCCGATTTCAAGGTGGAATCGGGAACCGGACCGAGAGAACCGGTTCTCAATTTTGGGAATCGCAGACCGGACCGGTTGGTTCTAGGACCTGGAATCGGACGGACCGTCGGTCCGGTCCGGTCCAATGGAACCGGTTACTTAGAGTTTAGGGTTTTTTTTTTGTCAAACACTTAAGGTTTGTTCACATTTTACTAATTTTTGTCAATAAATTTATGTCAATGAAGTTCACTTCGGGTTTAATTCACATTTTACTATTTTTTATCAATGAATTTATGATAATGAAGTTCACTTAAAGTTTAGTTCACATTTTATTATTTTTTTAAAGAAAAAAATAATAAAAATATATATTAAATAGCCGGTCCGGTCCGGTTCCCCCTTGGAACCGGGAACCGGACCGCCCGGAAACCGGTTCCGCTTTTAGGAACCGGGAACCGGACCGATAGTCCCGAGAACCGGACCAAACTCGTCAGTCCGGTCCGGTCCCGGTTTGGGCGGTCCAAGTTGCTCACCTCTATGCATTATCGATAAGCAAAAATCAACAAATTTGCGGTTACAAATTACTGAAATCGATAAAAATCAAATTCTCAAAATAAATCATCAATAAGCATATATATATACTTAAGAAAACAAAAGAAAATTTCAGATAAAGTTAAAATTGTCGTTTTGTTATTACCGGAACTCCTAATAGTCGCAGGTTTTTTTTTTTTGCAAGTTAACATTTTTTTTAAGGATAAGTATAAGAGTAAGAACATTGGACGAGCATTCAAGTACTCGCACTCGCATCGCGTCGACATCGAAGCAGCTATAAGAAGCAAAGAATCGCCGACCGCGCTCGCAGTACGCACGGTCGTCTCGCACGCACGCACGCACGCACGCCCAGAGAGAAGAAGACAGAGACGCCGCCGCAAGGTATCGACGGATGGCGAGGGACAGCTGCTTGGCGCGGGTCGGAGCCGGCGTCGCGGTCGGCGGCGCAATCGGCGGCGCCGTTGGTAACCTCCCTTCGCTCCTAACCCTAATCTCTTTCTCCTCGTTTCGCTGTTTTCAAGTGCCCGGGACGAGAAGCAGGGAAAGCCCCTGCATCGACCCTTCTCTGCAGTTTTAAGTCTTTTTGTTCCGGTAGATGTATCGTGGGTCGTGGTCGATCGAGTCGATTCGACGGACCGTCTCTCGATCGCCCCATTGTCGTGATATACGCTCTGAATGGTTGGCTTTTGTTGTGACCCAGATGGAGCTTGGACTAAGATAGCCCTTGAAATCTATGTTAAACTGTCGTTGTTTAAGAGGGTGTGCGGGTATAGATGTTCTTGTTCGGGTTCTGCCTTGTGGGTTTATGACTAAGGGCGTATTTAAGTGAAATAGTATTTGGGTTTTGCGCGTGGCCTAAGAGCATTGTTGATTAGCTGACCTTATAGCTAGATAGGGCACAGATAAGGCGCGGTTGTTTTCAGTGTTATTGCCGTGGGGAACTCGTGTGCTGGTGCTGCTGACGATTTCGTCCATCTGTAGGCAGCACCAGTCTCTCTATACCCTTTTCTTTCTTGGAGGGAGGAAGTCTTAATCTTTTGTGGCATCTCTTCCAATCTGAAGGAGTTAAAGTTTTGGGATTTACTGAATTTCTCCATCTGCAAATCTCTTACTTTTACTACAAAGGGATTAACAGTTGTTAGTAGGAACCACTTACATATTGGAATTGTTAGTCAGATATTGCTTCCAGATAATTTAAAATTGTAAATGCTGGAAAATGCAATAAATATGTATTAGTAAAGCTGACAGTCCAACAGGATGGTTTTCTATGTGAAGCTTTTTTTTTTTGTCAGAATATATTGTTGTTATGTTTTATGTCATGAGATGGAGATACGTGTTTCATAGTCGAGTATGGTAGAAAGAGAAGATGTTGGATAGGAGGACAAAACGATGCTACTTACGTTTTACCACTTTTTATTGAGATTTTCTTGAGGTGGCTTTAGTAAGCAATGCTTAAAGATGCTAAGCAGTCTTTCTTGCTTCTGACTTGGCTTCCATAAGTCTCTGGCCTTGGACAACCATCTGTTAATTCTATTATCCGAAATTTTGTTCGTTATCTTGCTTGGGAAGTTTGTGCATCTGTGTCTTTATTTCATTTTGTGCTCTCTAAGTTTGTTTCTTTGTGCTTACAACATGTGCATGGCTGATGCAGGTGCTGTTTATGGGACATATGAGGCTATCCGATACAAGGTACGGCGTTCTATCCTCTATTTTTCACATAAAAATATAAATGCAGAATGGCCAATCTCTCCTTGTAGTTCTTACCTCTATTAGGAACTGGGAAGATGGAATTTTTTCCTTCTTGGACAAATTTTCGGACTTCCATTCTAAGTCATAAATGTGAGAAAGGAACCGTTATTTGTTTGACTGTTCCATTTCAGCTTACATGTAGGGTTGTTCATACTAGGGATTTAGAAGAAGATTAGCAATGCCTTTCCAAATCATGATGGTTATGAGCTCATTTTTGGCTTTTTGTATTAGCAATAATGACAATTACTCTTCTATATTAAGAAGAAGCGCTCTTCCTTTCGGTTCCGTTTGTTTTGCGGATAATAATTGATTTGGAAAACATTTTCCTAAAAATAATTGCTTGCTTACAAAAATGAATGAATGAAAAAATATTTTCACCATTCATGAAAATGTTATACATAAATTGTTGTCAATAATGAAAACATATTTCATTGACTTATTACTTCAAGCAATACGAGTAATTATTTTTAAGAAAATGTTTTCTAAATCATTCGTTTTTCGTAAAACAAGCACCCTCTTCATATGGGAGGGATCTGTTTTTGTGTGTACATGTATACGCTTTTTTTTTTGGCTTCATATTCCATATATTCAGTTAACTAGTACTTGAATATTGATACCTGAGGAACATTGATATCTGGTTTCCTTTGTCCAATAGAGCTATTAAGTTGTGGGCGTCTTTGAAATAATCATCTGTATAGAATATCATACTTGGTATGCTTCGTCTATGATTGAGTGACTTGGAAATCTGCATCTAATAGTTTTATGCTCCTTTACCTCAACACCAACCTCAGCCTGCCACTGAAGAAGGATAAGAGGAGAATATAAAGAGACAAGAACTTTACCCTAAAGACGAAGAAAATTATACAAAGCTTCGGTCCTTTTTTTGTAGAACTATCAACTAGCTTGGTTTTCTCCTCCCTCTGAAGTCAATTTCGGGATGCTTTTTCCTCCACTTGTTGCAGAAGTCAATATCTTTCAGATGAGCATTATGAAAGGGTTAATTTGATCCTTCTTTCTATATCCATTCTCACTGTGTGTCAAACTAAGCAGTTGCAGCTGAAGCAATAACTCAATCACCTAGCTAGAGATCGTCTTATCAGTAATTTTGAAATTCTTTCCAGACGGAATGATTGATTTCAATTTTCTTTTCAAGATTTTTTTTAGGCATGGTAACAATTCATATATCATGATATGACTAGATTTGGAATGAAAAGTGATCATCTCTTGGGGGCAATTTTTATTTGCTTCAGTTCCCTTTCGACTAGGAGGCCGTTGTGATGTCTTCTTGATGCACATTACAGATGTAGGTGGGTTTATGTTTGTTCCTATTGTGTTACTCTGCCTGTGAGAATGCATACCAGGAGGCATGGTAACAAATCATATATCATGATATGACCAGATTCGGAATGAAAAGCTATCATCTCCCGGGTGAAATTTTTATTTGCTTCAGTTCCCTTTCTACCAGGAGGCCACTGTGAAGTTGTATGGATGCACATTACAGATGTATGTGGGTTTTTGTTTGTTCCAATTGTTTTACTCTGCCTTTGAGAATGTATACCTGGAGGCATTGGTTGCGGAAAGTTTATAATTTAACTAAAACTTATTAGGTAGGCAGACCGTGTTTTATCTTTGTTTATTAATGCTGGTTTTAAGAGTTGAGGTTATCGTGTTGGAAAAATCAAGTATTTGGCATTAATTTTTCTCCCATGTCATTGCAAATAGACTTTTCCCTGAAAGGATGCCTTTGTTATTTTGCAGGTTCCTGGACTGATGAAGATTAGGTATGTGGGGCAAACTACACTTGGCAGTGCAGCCATTTTTGGTCTTTTCTTGGGTGCTGGGAGCTTGATACATTGTGGGAAGTCATACTAATTGTTCCTGTTGTTTTGAGGGACCGATGTAATAATATTTTAATCATCTTGAGGCAGATTTTTTTTTGGGATCTCTCTCTCAGCGTGTGTGTGCGTGTGTTGTCGGGTGGGGTTCTTGCGCGTACATGAATCCTAGTTCTGTCAACTGTTCCAAAATTATATCCAACACCCTCTTTTCTGCTCCGAATTTGTGCAAGACAGTCCGATCGGACCATACTATTCTCTTGAAAACGGGACAGACTGGGGCCGGTGACATCAGGCATGTAAATATCCTTCAATACCATGTGGAAGTCAATCTCTTACGGCTTACGAGCAATAGCTTCATCACATACTTCGGCTAAGACCGACTTGTTTTGGACCTTTAAAAAATTTCAATGCATTTGAAGGTGAAATATTTGCGAAATCAGTAGCGTGCCCCACTTTTTCTTGCTCAGGCAGTGTATCTAAGGGGGCTAAATCCTAGCCACACATCCAGTTTTGAGAAGAAAGATAGCAGCTGCATGCAGGGGTAGAGAGAGAGAGAGAGAGAGAGAGAGAGAGAGAGAGAGAGAGCAGGACCAGCTGATACATTCCATAAGATCAAACAGTGCCATTACAGGTAGGAGCACGAGTAACCAACGGTTTGTGGAAGCGCTTGTCCTTGTTTTCTTGCCAGTGTGGCAGGACCCAGATAACTATGACTCTGCTCATCATAATAATTTATTTGTGATGTAAGAAGCAGCATATTTGAAGGTTTATATTCACCTACACGAGCAAATAGGACATTATTACATTAGTGAAGGCTTTGTCCAGGCTCAGAACACGAAACTCTCCTCTCTTCTTCTTCATCTTGAGGAAACTTTTCCAACATCACCAAGACTCCAATCTGTAAGTGGGTTTCCTCTAAAACCTTCCCTTGCTAGAGGGTCCCCCCGCTCTCTCTCTCTCTCCTCGGTTTACAATTTGCAGAAAAGAAGTTGCTTATTAATAAATGAAGGAAGGGAGGAATGGCCGTGAGAAGCACGATGATAATTTGGGTGGCGATGCAGGTATGGGGAGCTTTGAGTGGATGGTTGTCCACTTGCTTTTTGCTTGCTGATGAGATTGCTCTTTCTATGGAGACTCAAGAATACCATGTTGTTGTAGACTGATAATAGATCATAAGAAAGTCCGGTTGCTCGAGCAATCTTGCACGAGTTTGAGTTGAGTTTACTGAATCAGAGGCAAAAGAACAGGCATTTTTATTGTCTTGTCTGGATGCACAAGTTTTGATATTATTCTCTCAGTAATAGAAAATTTCCTGCATCACCCATTTCTCAACTTAGCAGCAAGTGACTGAGAAGGATAGAACCTCCATGAGAAATCACATGAATTTCTGAGATAAGACAACCCATCTGTTCTTGTCATATATATCTAATTAGTGACTCATTACTCAGGCTGATGATGAATATTCTTGAAATGGTTAGTGGTCAGATGTGACCCTTGATTGGAATCTCCCATCTTTCATGAAATAAATTAATGACTAATGCATTTGTCACTCGTCCGATGGAATCTCTGTTATTTGATGTTTTCTGCAGATGGCCTAAAGATTTGACAAATTCAGACATATTTGAGAATAGGGACACTCCACTGCATGCCTCCAAACATATGTATAGATCGTCAAATGTCATTTGGTGCCATCCAACTTGACCATGGCATTGATCAAACTTAATGGTTTAAACAAAAGCAGATGCACATACCAAGTGTGTACAACTTCTTTTCCTAGAAAGAAGATTCTACAAATCCGATTGAACCAACGATTCTTCACTAATAACCGGTGCCTTTTAATAAACGATCACGATCTTTCATTTACGTTAGTCGTTTCGTATTAATGACTTTTGTTTTCGGATTACCAACTTTCTAAATGCGCTGATAAATCGCCGATCATAAAATCAATCCTCCCTGGAACATATAAATGGGAAGAGAAACATATAATTTATCCCACACTCCATAAAAAAAAAAGACTTGACTAAATTTCTGTAAGGTCGTGAAACTCGCCATATCGTCTAGACATACTCCTATATATAGATAATATCAAAGAGTCGAAATCAACATTAAATTCCATAATAAATTATATGATTTATATGCTATGATAAGATTTTGTCCACTGCGTCAATTACTTCTCGTGCTATTTTTTAAAATTATTATCGATTCTTCGACTAGACTACAATTTTTTTTTTGAAGAAAAGATGTAGATGATGTATGTAATTAGTGGTTAGGCACAATTAAATTTCTCAACTGTCCCTTATTCTACCTAACCAAATAGAGAGCTATGAGATAGTGTGGGGGGTGACAATAACATTTTAGTTGGAGAACCTTTTCCTTCCCACTGGCTACACATGGGGGCCATTGGATTTCATCCATTGAATCTTATCCGTTCGACGCCCCCAAGAAAAGAAATATCCTATTTAATATTTATAAATTCACCACGAAAAATTCAGACCCAAAAAAAAAGTCCAACATGAAATTAACGAATTGCTAAGATGCATCAATAGCCTATCTTCTTACCATCTCGATCGGTGTAGCAATTATTCTCAATACCGCATTGACTAATAACTTCTAATTTCCCGTCGAATAAATCAATGCGCATCATATGTAAGTCCATAATAAATAAAATTTAGTCGCGATTTGAGAAGAATTAGCAAATATTTCTCTTAGTATCAATTAAAAGTGACATAAATTCTATAAGAAAAAGAAAAGAGAGAAATGGTAAGATCTTCGATCATATACATCTCACGCGCATTGCAAAGATTCAACGGCGACGAAAAATCAAGAACCCTTTTTTTCTCATGTTTTTTCTTTTTCGGTCCATCTCCTTTTACCGGAGAAAAATTCAAAAAGTTAGGCGGTGCGTCCCCAAAAACCTCATCATCATCATCATCATCATCATCATCATTTCTCCTCCACCCCTACGCCATTCCAAAAGTCTTCCTTCTTCTCCTCCTCCTTCCTCCCTCCTCCTTCTCTCTCTCCTTTCTCTCTCTTCTGAAAGTGATTCGAAAGCTCCCTGCTTTTTCGCACGGCACGTCTTCGCGCCTCCCATCACGTCATTCCAACACGGCCAACACCGCCACCATCTCCATCTCCATCTTCTTCTTCTTCACCGTCGATCAGTTCCAGCTGCTGTTCGTCACTTCCGCCGCTTGTCCTCGCCGCCCCCCCTTCCTTCGCACGTTCCCGATCGTCCTGCTCCGGCGTCCCCCGGCAACGATTTCCGGCGGTCGAGCGTCGTTCCGGCCCGGGTTTCTTGGGGGGCCGATCGTGGTGGGATCTCGGCAATGGCGGGCTCGGGGAGCGACTGCGAATTGGCCGGCAAGCAGAGGAGCTCGCTCTTCAACCGGTCGCTCACCATGCAGCCCAAGGCTTTGGTCGATCACCACCCCTCCCTCGAGCGGGCCGGTTCCATCAGGAAGTTCTACAGTTCCATCGAGTCCTTCAAAGGGAAGGTCCTCAAGCTCCGCAATTTCTTCGACTCCCCGAAACCCCCGCCCGCCCCCGTCCCCGCCGCCGCCGCCGCCGCTGCCGCCGACAAGCTGCATTTGCAGGTGCAATTCCAATCGCAGCTTCTTTCCAGGTTAAAGCCCGCGAAATCTATTGGCTCGAGCTTTGGCAATAACTCGTCGATTCGGCTGCCGGGTACTGAGGACAGGATCGTGGTGTACTTCACTAGCTTGCATGGCATTCGGAGGACTTACGAGGACTGTTATGCGGTGCGGACGATATTTAGGGGCTTTCGAGTGTGGGTCGACGAGCGGGACGTTTCGATGGATTTGGCATATAAGAAGGAGCTGCAGGGTGTGTTGGGCGAGAAAAGAGTAAGCTTGCCGCAGGTGTTTATCGGGGGCACGTATGTGGGCGGAGCCGATGCGATCAGACAGATGTATGAAACCGGTGAATTGGCAAAAATCCTCGAACGTTTTCCTAAGAAAGCGCCGGGATTTGTGTGTGAGGGCTGTGGGGACGAGAGGTTTGTGCCGTGCACGAACTGCGATGGAAGTAGGAAGGTGTTTGATGAAGATGAGGGGGTGCTCAAGAGGTGCTTTGAATGTAACGAGAATGGGTTGATGCGGTGTCCGGAATGTGGTTCTTGAACTTGGGCCAATACATATTGGTAATGTTAATTGCTACGTGTCGCTGGGGAGGTTATTTCTTGATGCGAATGATAAACTGCAGGAGCCGGCAATGATGCGTCCCCTTAATCGTTCCAATGTTGTATTTTTCCTGGATTTTCTGGACTCTTTTGGCTGGGAACTAATGGTTCATCAACTCCATGAACTGGGGTAGTAAGTTATCGTATGTAAAATCGAAGCGACAATTTGGCTGTTGCTTTTGTACTTATGCAGGAGAGATTTACCCTCCTTGGAATGTAAATAATAATTTGACTTGAGAAGATTTGCGGTTGTTTTCACAAATTATGATAAGAGGAGAGGGGCAATTGATATTCCTTTTGTACTTGGTATTGTCTATTCTTGGCGATTACCGTTCTGAATTATTTGGGGCAAATTCTGAAGGAGGATGTTTGTCAATGACAAGCTAATGTCTATGTTACCGAGATGGAACTTCTATACTTGATGCTTTTTGTGACTCTAAACTCCAATTCAAAGTAGGATGAAGCTCGTGGCCAGCCATTTTTCTGCTTAGTGATGTCATGAACAGCTTTACATCTGTACTACAAAGGATTATATTCAGTAGGATGTTTCTCTAGGTTCACAAAATGTTTACTGCGATAAAATTGGAAGTATTTCTCTGCTTCCTAGGATCAGAGTCTTTTTCATGTTACAGTTGCCATCACTTAACTACTGCACGTGCAGTAGTTCCTGCAACTGTTGTGGCTTTTGCAAAATTACTTATGCTGATTGATACAGAGGTTTGGGATGTTTAGTCACATGATTTGTATTTGTGGTATGTGTCCATTTATTTTCTGAAATTACCTTGACGTGTGTATCATGTATAGGTGATAGTGATGCTATAAGGAGAGCAGTTATGCTATTATATTGCTTTCTTGTTTCTTCATGCTATATTCTCCAATGTTAGCTGGGACTATGCCTGAAGTTTCAAATTTAGGACCTTTGTCATCATCTAATTTGGAGTTCTGTTTGATTGATTCAAGTTACGTGACTCTTGAAACTAGAAGGGTTGGGTATCATGATCGTGCTAATGCATGGTGTAAGCAACCTGGAAATTTTGGTTCACATAGAGCATTCGGAATTGCTCTTATTTGGGTTCTTCTTTGTTGAATTGGTACTTCAGATAAGAGTTTGCTGATTGGGATATGCCTTCTAGTTCTGCTACAGGATAGTCATGGGAGTCACTCCTCTATATGCATATTATCAGTTGCTTCGGGATTGAATCGATCTTGGCTAGTATTTTATGCTTCGATACGGAAATGTTTCTACAGCAATTTGCTGAGCCAGGTCAATAATGCTGTCAGTGATGATCTCCTCATTTTTACTATAACGAGACTTGGGTCATCAAGATCAGAGATAACTGATGATGTATGACTCAATGATTAGTTCATCGTGATCCCCGAATATCTGTATGCTTTCTTGACTAATGTCATTATGGGTGGATCAGAGGCTCGGCTACTCGAGTTGCACCGTTGGTAATTTTTTTTGTCGTGCTGTGAAGATATTACTGTGCATTGTAGCCATTGTTGGTGGTAGAAGGTTGAGCTAGTCAGTTACGCTTCATTTGGATGTCGCAGGTGATCGTGCGGAGCTGTTCCTGAATGTGTGGGAAATAAACAGCTTTCATGAGGAAGACATAGAGTTGGTAGAACAGAATAGGTCATTGAGCATAATGCCTTTAAGGATAATGGTGATTTCTCATTGACTCGCAGGTTCGGTTAAGAGTTGTGAACCTCATCAACTGAACCTCGTAGATGATGCAGTCTATGGATTTTAAGGATCTTGTACACAAAGGATGTCTTCCTAATGGTGGCCAGGACTCCATGTAAATGAACTGTGTCTGTCTGGTACCTTCTTGCTCACTGAGCAACTATTTGTTTTTCGATGACCCATCACCCTGACGCTCTCCACTCATCACCGACCTTCTTGTAATCTATGTTCTCGTTTCGCGAATCCATACTAGTTGTTGGAATCTCTCATCGTGTCTTGCGTTTATTACTGTGTTACTCAGTGTATTAGCTTAGACAGAAGGAAAAGAAGAGAGAAATGTTTTGATTTTCTTAACCACGTTCGGAGATAAAGCTGGCTTTCTCCAACGAAATGCAATAAGATTAATTACAGAAGGAAAACTCTCAAAATCTCACTGCACAAAGTTTGGAAAAGAGAAGAAGTATATTACGATCTAGGGCAGATTCATGGAAAAATACTGTCCTTGTTAGGGTCCAGACACTTGACTTTTCGTTTCTATTTTTGTTATTTAGTGTGCTTTGGAAAACCAACTCAATTTATGAGTTCTAATCTCGATCACCAACAAACATTCAAACAAATTTTTCCAGCAATGAACAAAACAACCCTAGCAGTATATGTACCAAACAATGTCAAACTCTGTTACACGCATATCACTATAATCTGGTCAGACTAATTTTCAAGCTACTGAGTAAGGGGAACACATTCAAGCTCAATTTCAAGCTCTCCCCGCTCGACATTCTGCAATCTTAAAGTTATGTCCTGTTTTACTTTACCATCGGCTAAGCTGATGACACCGTCTTTCACTAGGGTATTATCTCTGCTTGCAACCCATTTCCCGAGCTGCATCGACTCATCAATGGTGAAACTTTCATATGCTTTGGCGGCAGACAGTAGGGGCTGAATGTCTATCTCGGCCTCTCCCATAAAATCATCCGTCTTGAACGTGTCCTTGTCATATACGAGCTGCATATGCAAAATTATGTTATTAATTACTTTCAAGGCCAAAGCTGGATTTTGCTACCTCTTGACAGACAGTTTACGAACTCTGGCTAATTTAAACTCTCTGTATCTTATGGTAAAAACCTGAGAGAAACAGTACCACTTCACCAAACTCTTTGGCTGTGCCATGAACAATCACGAGTTTTGCAATGTTGAGACTTGTCTTGCCAATAAAACCTCTGGCCACAAATTTATATTCAATTTGGTGACCCCATAGAAGCTGAAAAGAGTACCAGACAAGTTGGGGAACGATGACATTGTCCCAGTTCCATTTCAGGGTCATCATGAAAGAGCTTAAAGTTTCCAAGAAGATCCAACCATATTGTATACACTAAAGTAACTTGTCTTACTGTTCTGATATCATTTAGTGACTTGTCTAAGGGGTCAATTAGCACACATATGGTATATAGAGTATCGGTACCAACAAATGTTAAACGAGTCCAGAGAACACATCTTCATATTATTTACTTCTAATGCCTCTCCACTAAATTAAACTGCAAGAGGTCATCTAGGATATAAGCTCCATACCACTTTTAAAGGAGGGACGTTTTCCGGAATTGACAACATCAGCTTCTCATTCCACACTGGATTCAGGTTGTTCTTTATAACACGCGTTTTCACTGACTGCAACAAGGCATTAACAAGAGGAAAATAACTAACTCAATGCTAAACAATTTCATAACTCCATCAACTTAACCACAAGACCATTATCAACCAGTTCCGATCGGAAGGCTCACCTGGTGCCCCAAAGCAAGGATGACGTAAGGGTCACTGGTCATCACATCCCGAATAACTAGGTTGGTGCCTCTTACCACGTTGACCTTTATTAGACCAACAAATTCAACCATTCCTGCCTATAGAAAAGTAGACATGGAAGCTATAAGGTCTTTGTTGCTGGATTCACAATATGTAACATTGCCTGATCTAGCGCATTGCAACCCTTGCTTCTACCCAATCTATTATCAGGATATAATTTCTTTCCAAGTGAAACCCCCAACTATTATTATCATTCCTCTTACTTGCAGCTCCAACAAGTGCAAACAGAACTTGTTTTGGTGGAGTTTCTCCATCAAATAATCCGGATAACAAATCAAAAGCAGTTGAATTAGCCAGTAAATAAAAATAGGAAAGACAGACAAATCATACCGATGAGCATTTCTTCTTGTAGGCCTTATGGTCGGTCTCCCTCCTTCCCCAGCTGTTACGAAATGCCTGCCCAATCCGATGCTTCGTCGGTTGTTTCTCAAACTGTCTTTTCTCTTGAATAGCACTACTGCTAGAAGAGCTGCTTTGGGACGACGATGGGAATCTATAATTAGATGGTGGGAAGGGGCAGGCCATCTGTTCGTAAGAGTTCAAAAATTCTAGCAGCTCATATTTCCTCCTGAGTATTACAAGAAGTACATTTTGCTTTAGGTTGCTGCAAAGTTCATGTTAAAACTTACTTCAAGGTTTGCGTACTAGCATTACCTAATAAAATCAGACCGCTCTTCTATAGAGGAATCCGCTTTTGGTTTTCTGAGGTTATCCGGAATGCAAGCTTCATACTTCAGGTTTACTGCAGTGTTTCCACCCATCTCTACTAATTCTTCGACTTGCTTGTCTGTCCACTCATCTAGTTTTACTGACAGAACCTGTTGCAATTGAAAACATAGTTAAGGGCTCTTCTCTTTAAGTCATGACGACCAGGTGATACTAGTGTTATCTATGATCAGCATTAATGGTAAGACTAGTCCTCGGACCTGAGCTCCAAGAGATATCATACCTTTGAAATGTGCACTCCAAGGCCTCTGTGAACACCAGAGCACTTGATACATATAAATGCTCCCAGAGTCAAAGATCTGAGATGCACAAAAGGAAATGTTTAATCATAATATCTCTTTGGAGACACTGAAGGAAACAACAACCTTTATGCAGTCTATGTATAAAATGATAAAAATTAAGGAAAGGATGTATAAAAGTTTGTGCAGTAATGTGGAAAATATGGTGCAGACAACTTCAAGAACTCCTCTTATCCATTCAGATCCATTGGATTTTAGAGTGAGAATTTACATTAATGTGCAGATATTTCATGAAGTAATAGATAGGAGTACTATGCCCATTTGCAGTCATGTTATATATTTGCTTTTCGAGAGAGTCTGATTTCTTGTGTCACAAGTCTTCCTGCTTATGAAAAGAAATATGAAAGATTCAAAGAACGAATTTCTGAGTCTCTAGTACTCACACCCATTTTGGATCTGGGGAGCCACAATCTGCACAGAACTCATTACCAGGCTGTGACATTAGTTTCTCAAGCCTTTGTCGTGCTCCTGTTAATGGGTATAAAAACATACATGAGACAATTTCTAATTCAAACCCATAATGACAATTGTGGGACAGGGCAGAGAACTACTTCTTTGTGCACTACGGATGACAATCAGTGTAGACAATTACAAACTCAAGGAAGACGTAAAAGAAGTTCATAAGTGAAAAAATTAGTCTGGTTAATATGAAATGGGAAACTACTATCTCCTAGTGTGATATCTAACTAAATTACATCACTCTGAAACTAAATTACATCATGTTTGGCATCTGCTGAAGTTCAGTAATTGACATGGAAGACTCATGGAGAAAGAGACAAATGCAGTACAATTTAACAAGTAAAACAGAATAAGATAAAGATATCACTTAAGCTGAAGATACCGGAATAAGATGTCTTTTTGTCACTTGTGCATCCCCAACCAGGGTTTTCTGAACGCAAGAGATCAAAGAGGCAAGACCCCGTCCCTGTAAAAGTATTCAGGTAGGTACCAGGGAATAGGACTATAAAATATAATCATGATACCAGCTCATGTCATCAGAGGATCTGAAGTCAAATCAAATAGAAAGAATGCAAAGGCCACCAATGTCATTGATCAATAGTGTGGTAATGAACTATCAGAAAACATCTAAGATTGACAGTACTGCTTAGAAAAAGTTTTTCAGAAACTAAAGATAAAAGATTTACAAAGGTAATAAGGTCTGAGATAGAAATGTTAAGGAGCAAAAGTGAGAGTTCTGCATCCCCTCAGCAATATGAATGAGGAAACACAGCGTTCATACCTCAGTGCCTCACTGTCAAACATATACTACCAATTCAAGACAGATCTCATATATTAAGCAGATCAAAATAAACAAACCACTTCTGTTTGCAGATCAAGACAATCAGCAAGATGACACGATCTCCAGAGTCACGGTTATGGCTATAAACTGTTTATTGAACAAACTAAGAATTCTTAAGACAGCTATCAGTTTTGTGCAGTATCATTACGGTTAAATTAGTGCCAAGTACATCGAGCACAATCATCACAATCCCAATTTTTCTTCCAATCACTTTCCAATAGCTAAAAAGAGATTCATAATTCCAATCCTCCAGATTGAGTCAAACCTTTCCATCACTCGGAAACACAACATTATGTATTCTTCCTTACATTCTCCTCCTTATTGCCAGCATCATATGGGGAGACCAACCTTGCCAATTGAGCTTACTCTACCATGATGAGTACCTAATTGATCTGCTTTTCAGACCCTTAACATAATTAGTTGTCTGGACTAACTGTTCGATGCTTCATTATAAAGAATCAAAATCCTCTTATTAGACATGTCGCCAACCTCGGTACTTACAAGAACAAGAGGGCACACAATCAAATTTCAGAACAAGTTTCTAACTTCACTTGAGCAATCTCAATTTAACCAGCCAAGAACAAATTTTTTGCTTTTCGATAAATGCTACATTCGTTACATCTATCGGCCTCCTGTTTATCAGAAGAAGAAAAAAAAGAAAAAAAGGGAGAGAGAGAAGCAGTATCTACATAATGCACTAGCTTCAGTTATGTTATTGGGAAAGTAGTTTCGACATATTATCAAGCAATCACCTGAGACATCATCGGAACCGGAATTATCTTGCCGGATAGACATGTCAGCTTCCATACATAGAATCCAACATACGAAATAATATTCGCTATAATCTGTATATTTCCATTCAATCAGCTTCTTCTCTGCATCAAGGAACATGGGTTCGAAATAAAATCCATATCCGTGTTATGAAGTGGGAATTTAGCAAAATTGAACAGACCATTCCATGCAAAACGAACCTGCACAAGAAAAAAAGGAAGAAAAAAACTAACCTTTAAAAGGGTCCTCAGAAATATAGATGATCCTCTCAGAAACCGTCGATACAGATGCAATCTCGATAGAATTCGCTCATTTTCATGGATGCTCAAGAAACAATTGGACGGGGAAAGAAGGCAAAAGAGAACCCAATATATTGACCCAAAATGGAAAAAAAAAAAAACACAAAGCTGGTTGTAGTTAAAAGATGGGGGGGAAAGAAATCTGAGAATTCTCAGGAGCAGCTGATGATATCATCAAGAATCAATTGTGTGTGGATAGAGCATTGACCCTGAATATTTTTTGCTGGATTTATCGGAGTCAAACGAGCGAAAGAAAGATTCAGGGCAATGAGGAGGGATATGATTGCAGGATTTGGGAAATGGTGGCTTTTTCTTTATTATTCTTCCCTTCTTTTTCCTTATTTAATGTCTCTTTCTTGATTAAAAATTCGATCTTTTTCCGATAAGCGAAAGCAATGAATAATGATGATGATGATGATGATGATGATGATGATGCAGAGTCGAGGAGGGAGAAGTTCGGTTTTGTGGGGGATGAGAGACTCTTGTGGGTTGGTGTGGTTGGTTCATCCTCAAAACCTTTCTACAACATATTTTCGAGGGAGATTCACCCCCACTCGGTTTCTGTCGCGAGTGTAATCCAGACGAGTACACGTAGAGATACCCGTATATATCGTTATCCTTAGGTGTATCTATTTTTCTATTTTCACATGTATAAATTTTGCATGATGTACCTTTACCAAACAAAAAAAAAAAATTTTGTGTGATGTAGGACAACTAAACTTTTTCATACCATATGCTTCAAGATTCGATTAGATTTAATTTGGGGTTTTCTTGTTTACGTATATACTATAGACAATTACCTCGTACAATCTCGGGCTTTTTAGAAGTACATTTTGGAGACGTGGGACCAATAATAAAGGAATGGCAATCCAAGTCCTTGACTTGCAAAATTATGGAAATCACTTTCGCACAATTGTGATTTTTCCAACTTCATTGATCAATCTTGGCGAAGTAAAAGCACTCGAACTAGGTAAGAGGTAAGCCATCCTCCTCTAATGTTCATCTCAATTTGAAAGCTTTAAGCTTGATCATGGGCTAGGAAAGTGTTATCAGCATCATGCATTTACCCCTGTCAAATAATTCCCTTAATGTGATCAAATTTTTAATGTCTTCTTCTTTATTCAAAGTGATTGTAAACTGTATATATCAAAGACATTTCAAAAGGAGCGTAGGGTGCACACGTTAGTTTCACTAGCCAAAAGTCCATAAACAGTAGCTTACGATAAAATACGAGAATATTCTTGTCCCCATCAGGAAGCTCCATTTCCTAACGAAGTCAAACGTAGATAGATGGGTAGATAAAGCTGCGCACGTTGTTATGTCGTTTTCCAACTGGGTGGAGTGGACCCAAAACTAAAGACACCACCCTCGTCGGCATGTCAGGACAAAAGTCCATATTCACTCGTTTTCCTTATCCCCAAAATACCCAAAAAGAAATAATATCAAGTCCAATTAAAAATCGATTACATACTTGCCAAAACCTTAGTGCTTTGACATTGGATTGGACAATCTTACATAATCTCTGGCTCATCTAAAGCATGTACAGCAAACCAAGCTGAGACACATACAAGGCATCATCACATTGAATCAGCAAAGAAGTACACAGGCAACCAACAGAGGATCAAACAATCTAAGTACTTCAGGAGAGGTGGACTCTAATCTGTTAAAACGGTTGGAATCCTCCGACACTACCAATTTCTATAGTACACGAAAAAGGGTATCAATTTAAACATCGCCCAGCGCTAACCTTGGTGAAGATGGCACTAACAAGCCGACTGCCTTGAACTATCTTGTTCAGGTTTATTTCAAGCTCATAAGGTCAAATGCAATTCAGACAATGAACACATCCATTTGCCCATACTCAGTAACATTGAGAAGCTTGAAAATCAAACATGGAGGCAACCTATACAGATCATCTATATTATGGTTGAAGAGACACAGTCCTCAGTTGTCAAGAGGAAACAGAGAGGATGTTCGGTCATGATAGAATAAATGACACTTCTTGCCGACATGTGCTGATGATTTTTCTTCTAGTTGCTTCCCATGATGAGGATTCTCGCTGCCCCTTGATGAAGATCCACTCGGCTGACAATAAGAGAAACCTCCAAATTAACAGTAGATCTGTATAACGAGCACGATAAATGTACACATAGGCATGGAAGAGATAAAGGAAGGAATTACCCCTCATGATGTTGGCCTTTTCATCAGTAACAGGCTTCAACCTCCATAGTTGCATCATCATTGCATCCATCGCTTGAGGTGTTCTCTGAAGCTTTAAACTGACCAGATTTCCGGGGCTTCGTACGCGTGCTTGTAGGAGTCTTTGGACCCTGGCAAGGAATAATTTGTCTGCTGTTGGGACTATCCGGCAAGTCTATTCCCTGCAAGTTGCCCGACCCCGCAGCTTTTCGCTCAGAAGAAAAATTAGTCGAAATAGATGATTCAGCCAGCCCTGAATGCTTTGATGCAGTTTCCAGAGGTCTGTGGAAAAGAAGATGAGAAACTGCGCGGTCTATGGGATTTGTTTCTGTTTCAGCAGTACCCATTTTAGCCTGCCTGCTGGCCACAGTGCAGATTGGAATTAGTATATTCCTTGAGATTGAGATTGCACTGCAATTTGGGGGGGGGATGTGTTGGGGGTGTTAACTACGGGGAAGGTAGACCGAGAAAAAGATTTCCCAGCATACTCCGGACTCAATAAATTTAAAACATGAACTACTCAATTGATGCATAAGGGCACACAAAGCAGAAGTAGTCTTCATTCAACCAATATGTAAAGCAGACCACGACCAGCCACTAACCTGTCACAAGCATTCACTTCTTCAACGACCTTTTTGTGCTGTTGTCTGGTGTTTGTTTTGGTGGTGCCAGTCTCACTGATCTGTTGTCTTTGCATCACACTTTGAGCCAATCGAAACAAGCTATCTCTCATACAAAGTCTAATCCTGCTATCCAACTGCAGCAAGGCGTTACTACCGTCACAGGAAATATGCAAAAGTGACCAGAAAACGAGTCACCTGAAAGTCAAGCATACCTTGGTGATTACATCTTGAAGTCGCTGAAGTATGTTATCCTCCACTGAATAGTCATCAACTGCCACAGACATTGAGTCGGAATAATCATATTCCAGAGGTGAGCTTGGATCGAGAGAGGCAACAGGGCCCATGTCAGCAACTTCTTCACCATCAGGACCCCCAAGATGTAGCACTTGATTCTTCTGGGCGCATTTCTCAGCAACTGAATGACCAGAGACATGTTGAGTTAACTGCTGTTGCCGTTTCTGAATAGCAAGCATTGCTTGTAATTGTTGCCGCCGCCTTAATTTTTCAATCTTTTCTTGGGGAGTCATGCTTAAAATTTTCTCAGGAAGATCAACAACATTCGTTACATGGTTTGCACTTCCAGAGGATTTTTCATAGCCAGATATCAGACTTTTCTTCTTGCATTCTCCAGATAGATTTGGGGACAACAGAGGCATTAGTGGATAAGGATTCACACTATTCCCAACTGCAAGAGCCATGTAAGTGTTTGATACGGGATTCTTTTGCAAAAAGTCGGGATTCTGAAGCTGTCTTGACCAACTTGAATCTGCCCTGTCATATGGCATTATGTGGGGCGCCAGTTGGTGTTCATGTGGTCCAGTTGCATCTCCAGTAGAATACCAGGCCCTACTGACATCTTCTAATGGTCTTTCTCGGCTTCTTCCCTCCACAGCATCATCCTGATTGCTTAGCAGCTTCTTTTGAGACTACAGCAAGATGGTCATAAAATGGTCAACATTCAGACAAGGAGGGCAGCTCATGCTACAATAAAACAAGGCATACAGCTCAGTCTAGGAAGAGCATATGCTAGGCATTATTTTCAACTGCAATATTGACAATGTTACTTCTAGGTTGATGAAGTCCTGGTCTAACACATGCAGATTCTTTTGGGAAACCAACGAAATGTCGAAGGAGCTAAGTAATCCTATTAATAATTATTTGGCTCTGCGAATGAAGTAAAAGTAGAGCCCATGGACGAAAAGGAAGTTATATTGGGCACCAGGATGTTCCTTTGTCCTATATCTGTTCAAGTTTCTAGTAGAGGATTTTATAATCTTGATGGAGGGACTATTGACAACATATTTCATCTGTCAATATGTGTAAAATTATATTATATAATATTCAGCAACCTCTAAAGGACATAATGATGCTTTCTGCCAGAGGTTGGGGTTTTCTATTGTTCCGACTCCTGACCCTCTAGCAAAGCCTGTGACCACAAGCTGGAACCAAGCATTACTAATCCAATACAGTATAGTGGTTACAGGTGCATTTTGAATAGTCCCAAAGGACTACCTTCTCTGCAGATTGAGCGGGGGTTGAAATATTGACAACAAAGCCAGAGTTCACTATTGCGGCCTTTTCCACCATGCCCACATTTGTCTGTTACACAGGACTAATGAGGTACATAAATTTAGCTGATAAACATCTTCATTCATATATAGTTTCTAAGTTGACAGTCGATACCTGATTATCTTCCACTTTCTTCAGAATCTGTGAGTGCTGCAAGAGGGTGGATGCATGGTCATTCATTTCCTTGTAAGCAAGTCTAACAGAGCGGTCTTGTTGAACATATTCTGCTTTTATTTCCACACCCTCTGATGCACCTGTACCTGTTAATGGTTTTGACCGCAGAGTAGGAGAATCCGCATATCCAGAGACTGACCTTATGGGGCTAAGAGTCACATTTTTGCTATAAGACCATAGCTCATCTGCACTGTCAAGATTCTCACTGCCATATAGTGACTCATCATTGCTGCAAAATCGCCACTCGAGGATATTCAATTAAAAGGATGCCACTGGACATAACATTTTTTGGCTAACAGAAACAGGGGACAGAGGCAAAGCTCACTCAAAAAGAAAAACAAAGGGACTTATTCTAATTGAACTTGTTGACGGGCTGTAATACAGATATTCTATTAGCAAAATCTTCTGCAGATTGGGCAATGCTACAAGCACAATAATGGAATCACAAAAACAACATAGATAAAAAAAAGGCGATGGACATGCCAAACACAATCTTTGTATGAAAGATAAATTAAGTTTCATATATGCATTATAGGAAGGTAATTCACTGGATAAAATTCTGGCAGACAGAATGGCGCTAATTAATCCTGTTTGCCTCTTGCTCCACTGCCATTTCACGCTTCATCCAAAAGTCTGGTAAGGAATTGGTGCAATTACATTGCAATTGATATGACCAGACGTCTAATCGAGAAAAGAAAGAAAGAAAGAAAGAAAGAATGATGATGTAGCTTAACTGGGTAATCAGGGATAAGCCAAACAAACATAAAAATAAAATAAATTACCTAAAAATCCGATCAAGATCTTCAAAGCTTCCAATGGTTGACCAGCCATAGTCAACAAATTCGCCCTGTTCTTTATCTTCATGGGTATTTTTGGAACATTCAGAAGCCTTGTCAGGTTCATCTAGCCCTGCTGGTTATGTCAGGAATAAATTAGATATTTTAACAAATTCTAATGACATCATTATCTTCTAAGCATAGCAACAAGATGTTTTCTCCACCTTTAAAAGAGCCATATCTTGGTTCAATGGTTCGTGTATCATTTGTAACAGCATTAGATGAAGATAGGTTGGGCCATGAATCTGAGCCAAATGCAGATACATCTGAACATCTCTTTTTATTGATATTAGCACTACTTCCCGTTTTTGAGTCATTAAAATCAATTTTCAGCCCGAGGATCTTTTCTTCTGTAGGCTTGATTGGAGCAGTTTCTTGGTTCCATTCTTTCTTCTTCTGATGATCTTCATTTCCTTCAGGATGAGGAACTATATGGTCATCAGTCTCCTTGGACTCGCCCCATATTATGCTAGCAAGCTGTGAACAGCATTTAAAGAACTGCTATGAATAAAGAGACAACTAAACTGCAAAAGACATTGTGATTATCATAGATTGCAGAAGAACAACAGCAATCCATGCAAAAGATAGTAAGAAGATAGCTAGTCCAGTTGCCGGCAAACAGATGAGCTCTAAGCCAGCATCACCCTTAAGCAAGTGGATAATTATCCACTTGTGTCCACAAGACAGCAGTCATATGAGAGATATTATCAAACAACTTTGAGTTTTTAAATAATATTCTTGTATATATGGCTTTGGCTCGGATGAGTGCGTAATGCAAAATAAGTTCCAGTGGAATGTAAGGTATGAGATGGAATTGTGTTATCAGAGAGATGCTGGCAAATTACTTTATCGGTCTACCGCAAACCAGTATTATACTTTACAAGCTTCTCGGTGGAATTAGGTTTGATGGAAGGGTATGTTAACGAGTTCAGACATCAGGTCCAACATGTCCTGCTCATTGCATGATTGTTCGCACATTTCGTAGGCACTCGTACAGTCCACCTTACTGTTGATTACACCACTTGGTAATATGCCATCGTGGGATATTGGATTTCCATCTCAAACCCCCCCGGTAACAAGATATCAGGATTTCTCCTTGCTCTAGCACTTTCCATAATCATAACCATTTAAGCACCACTAATGTCGCAATTCGACAATGCCCACTTTGGACCCCAGAAAGAGTGATTACATATGTACCTCCAATTCGGATCGAAATCAACCCAATGTCCAAGATATATCTTCCATGCGACACGCCCACTTCATCCTTGAAGTGTCGCCTCAAAAACCAACTAACATTGCCTCCCTGCGGAGTGCTCGACACCGTGAGTCGAGATCGCTACAGTCACAAACTAGCTCAAGAGTCTCGAGACCAACGCACCTTTTTAGCATGTTCAAGTAAGCTTGGTCCTAAAAGGCACCGTTCTAACTGTAGCGTACAACTCTGACTACTCGGGCTGGAAACACAAACTAAACAGAGCCTCCCAGCAACTACAAGTTACTAAAAAAAGAAGAGACCTCGCAAAAGTCGAAAGCATCCAGCAAACACTTAGGCAGAGCCTGATGAGCAAACCCAGCTAATCCTAGCCATATAAACTCCCTCATGCATCGCTCAAACGACTTTTGAGTTAAAGTAAGCACATCGAAAGAACGGTAAGCTCCCCTGCCTTACCTCTTCGTCGTTCCAATCAAACATATCTGAAGGAGTCGGGGCGGATCCTCCGGCGACAGCGCAGCAGATCGACGACGCGGGCACGGGTCGCTCCTGGCCACATCTCCGAGTAGCTCAAGCCGAAACCAGCGGGAGAAGCGGATGCGCGGCCGACATCAAAGGGAGCAACGATCCTGCTGCGTCACCCCCGGAAAATGGAATGGAACTGGCAAAGAGACGCAGGGAGAGAGAGAGAGAGAGAGAGAGGAGCACGTGAGGCGTGGAGTGACACGTGGGAACCGGGCGTATCCAAAGTAGTGGCTGCGAGCGTCTGATCGATAGCTGCTCCGTGATTGGCTGGAGTGACGCGCGCCCCGGGGGGGGGGGCCCACCGATTTGTGGTGGGAATTGCTTCGGACATCGCTTTCCTTCGCGGGGCCGAGGTGGGGCCCCCCCACCACCCTCCCCAAGGTTGCTGTCGTGTCCGTCTTATCCGGGCTCTTGGGATCAGGATGACGTCATCAACTGGGGGAGGAGGGGTGTCCTGATGAGCACTCGGGTCAATCCCCCGACCCGACCCGACCCGACTTGACTTTCGGGTGAGAACGTCGGGTTTGGGGATTAGAGAAGTATTAAATAGCGGAACCCTTGTGATTAAAGTCGTGATCAGGCAAATTACATGGCCATAGTAATTGATGGTCGGCTTAATTTGAAGCCTGGTGTTATTATATCTTGGGCTCATAACGTGGGATACAAATGAGGACGAAATTAGAATGAAAAACGATTGCGGAATTTAACTCTTTTTTTAAGGAAAATGACATAAATAGTCATTGAATTTTGATTCAATGTATAATTTGGTCCATGAACTTTTAATTCGTTCAATGCAGTCCCTAAACTTTAACCTAATGTGCAATGTGGTCCCTCAAATTTTAATTTGTTCAATGTCCTCTTTCAACTTTTATTACATATTCAATTTAGTCCATGAATAATATGGAAAATGTTCAATAATTCTAGTTCAGGGACTACATAGAACATGTACAAAATAAATCTAAAGACTACATTGAACAAATTAAAAGTTTACGGACCACATTGAATATTAAGCCAAAGTTCAGGAATTACATTGAACAAATCAAAAGTTCATGGACCACATTGCACGTTGAGCCAAAATTCATGGATTGTTTGTGTCGTTATCCCCTTTTTTTTATTATTAATTTTTGGATTTTTCTTCAGCCAAATTTTCTAACTTAATTGGAGGCACGATTCGATGGGCCTGGCACGGGGAATTCCTATGCTTGGCACGATTCGAAGGGCGGCCTTTATATCAACCACTTTCTTTCCATCATGTAACTGCCAAATTCACGCATCTTTTAGTTTTCGCGAGTAATGTTGAGACTTCGGAAGTTGCGGCGACTAACGTGGCTTCTCGTGCAAGCCTACTTTATGCGTGTCCCTTCTGTGTTTTTGTTTGTTACCTGCACCTTCGTCTTTCGTTCTTTTCCTCCCTTATTCTCCGCCTCGTCTTCTTCACCTCATCTAATGCTCTCTCTTGTCGAAAGAGCCCTACAAACATGAAAACAAGAGTTTCACTTCGATTATTGTTTTCTCTTTCTTCAGATGTAATCCGTCCTTGATTAGGCATGTTAGGGATTATTGTTTCCAGGGTGAATAGGTTCTAAATCAAGAATTAGAATCTACTCTATCAGAGTCGGTTTCCTTAAAAAATCGGTCTGAAACCTAAGAGGGGAAAATTGTCAAAAAAAAGTAACCTATTGTACTTTAGTCAATTCAATCCCGAACCGTTTTAATTTTGCTAATTGAGTCATAAACCTTTTGACAATTTGATAATTGAGTCTATCAGGCCAATTTTAGCTGGAAATCATTGATGTGGACGGTGACTGTCCTTCGTGGCATGATCGACGCTGATGTGAACAATATTTTATATGTTTAAAATTTTTTTATTTCTTTTTTTTTTTTTCCAAGCACCGTGAGGGTCGCCAGCCAACCGTCGCCAGTCACTGGGCGAGGGCTCACCAGCCTCGGGTGAGGGTTACGGCCCTTGCCCAAACCTCATGAGGGTTGCCATCCTCTTCGCGGTCCTTGCCGGCTCACTAGATTTGGTAGAAAAAAAGGAAAAGAAAGAAACAACAAAAGAAAAAGGAAAAAGAAAAAAGAAAAAAAGGAAAAAAGAAAAACTAAAAGATTATATTTTTTGAAAAATTATAAAAAAAATTGTCCATGTCAGCACCGGCCGTCCTACATGGCACTATCGGCGTCCACGTCAGTGATTTCTAATTAAAATTGATTGGATGGCTCTCAATTGACAAATTAACAAAATGTTTAGGATTCAATTTACAAAATTGAAATGTATATGACTGAATTGGCAAAAGTGCAATAGATTTATGACTTTTTGGACAATTTTCCCAACCTAAGAGCCTAACTTTATGCAATATAAATATTAGCTTTCTAGGTTCTTAACCCTTATTCAACATATCTATACAAAACAAAGAAAAAAAAACTAAAAAACCAATTCTACAAAGAATTAGTCTTGGAATTAACAGTTCACAGTATAAGAGTGGGCACTGAACCAATTAAGGGCAGATCCCCAATTTTTTTCTTAAGGACATACTCGGTCCTCATGTGAACTGGTCAGGTACAACCCAGTTCGGAATCGACCCGATTGTTCACCCCTAATGCACATATATAGCGTGTCTCGACACTAGTTTACTTATAGAAGTAGTGATAGCAGTCATCTTTGAACTGTTCTTTACTTGTTCAATGCCGGCTCTTTGTTTTTTTCCTTTCGATTCAGTCCTCGATTCATCTCGTCATTCCTAGTCCTGGAGAGCACGAAAAAGGGTACTCCAAAAGATTCGTCCGTTGCTCTTTCAAAAAGTTTCCACGGTACTTGCGGGAGTAAAAACAGTAACGTACGTTCTTCAAAATAAGTAACGTTTGCTTGCTCGGAAACGTGATCTATGTGAAGCGGCGCTGATATCCATGATGGGGTTTTGCATGTGAGAGATTGCTCTATAAATTGGAGGGATTGCGTGACCAAATGTCACACCATCAGCTGATGAAAATGCATTTTTATACTCAATAGACAGAAAGAAATGGCTTCTCTAGTTGCTCCCGATCACTTCTCTCCCACTGAAGATGCTGAAGCTCTGCAAAAGGCGTGCAAAGGTACATAGCAACGTGCTTTCTCTTCATTAGATTAGAGATGGACAGAAAGGGAGAGTAAGTAATACCTAAGATCAGTGTTGGGGTCCAGAGTGTAAGGGCGAGTCTTTATCAATCCATTTGGTTATGTTGAATACACATCTTGTAGGCGTTTCCAACCCTAATTAGTGTTTGCTATGAATTGAAAGGTAGTTCGTAGGTATCGAGCGGATATCCACCATTAAGATTTCAGATGAATTACGAGAGATAAAATGACTCCGTATCTTAAAGGGTACGAGGTCCTGTGCTCGAACATAACTCGACTTTTGAAATTCAATCACGAGGCAGTACATTTTTTCCCGTGCTCTCTGCTCTCGACGTAAATGTTCCGTCTCTAGCGAAGCAAGACGGTGTGAACTTACTTGGTACGGGAGAACTATTAAATCGATTTAAGCATCGCCTGAACCCTTAAACAAAGGGAAAAGAGGGCATGATAAAGAGGCCAGAAGTCGTGCATATGTTATCGTGAGATGTACATGACTCAGAAGTCACGTCTTTCGGTGCCAATTATGTCTTAAGGTCGAATTGAAAATAGGACATAAGTAGGACGGTGGGGCAATTGTTTTCTTCATGTTCACATTGCATGTACACGTGCTTGTTAGGGAACGCCATGACACCTACACAAAACACTTTTATTAGGTTAAACTGCTTCAAAACCCAACCGAGACACATTTGCTTAAGGACTAAGTTGTCTACACGTGGGATTGCGCGCCCGGACAATGCTAATATAGTATAGGATCTGGCTATTTATTTATGATATAGAGCTTTTGAGGGAAATGATGGATTCTCTTAGGTGTCGATGATTTCGATGTGCGTAATGCTGTATAAAATGGGGATGTGGGGATGCTAAGTTTCTTCACATCACACTGTGGAGAGGCTACAGAGAGAGAGAGAGAGAGAGAGAGAGAGAGAGAGAGAGAGAGAGAGAGAGAGAGAGAGAGTGTGATAGTGATGGCTACCCTTGTTGCTCCTGACCATTTCTCTGCTACTGAAGACGCAGAAACTCTAAGAAAGGCCTGTCAAGGTTTGAACCTATCTCGCTGTTGATGCATGTGGTCAACTTCAAGCCATGTGTTCGTATCTTTGTCGAGATTTGCTATGAGTTTAAGGTGTTGAGAGGCTTTACCCAATCGTTCATTTCCTGTTTTTGTTTGCGATGAGATCAGGATGGGGAACGAATGAGAAGGCGGTCATAAAAGTGCTGGGGCACAGAAATGCAGCGCAGAGGAGGCAGGTCAGGCAAGCCTACGAGCAGCTTTACGAGGAAGACCTCGTCAAGCGCCTTGAGTCTGAGCTCTCCGGAGACTTCGAGGTCGTTTTCTTTTTCTTTTGATGATATAAATTTCTTGGTCGAAGTGCTTTGAACATTATATATTTGTTTAATAGTGTTGTCGTCAGTTTCATCGAAACAGTTGTCAACTTTTCACTCACTGATTACACTTGGTAATCAACGTTGCATGCTCTGGGACTCGCATGATGCATCCAAATGGAAAAGGCTAAGGAGCTAGTGTAAAAGAATGACCCGCTTTTGACTCAATAACTCATCTATTAAATGTTTTAGGTGACCTAACCAAGCTCAACCAAAAATACTGAATGTTGCGTAGGACTCTTTCGGGAGAGCACCCGATGTGCACTGACAACTGTAGGGATCATACGTAACGCGGAAAAAGAAATTGGATCGTCTTGATCTTGTCAAAATGAAGCTCAGCTGTAAAAAGATCAGATGAAGTCTTCTGAGAAAGAGAACGAGCCATGCAATCTTGATGTTCTTTTACCGGATAAAATGATCTGAGAGTTTGATATATGTTCCCATAACATCTGTTTTGAAGAAAGCGGTGTACCGTTGGATACTGGACCCGGCTGATCGGGATGCCGTGTTAGCGAACGTGGCGCTGAAGAAATCGAGTCCTGATTACCATGTGATCATAGAGATTTCTTGCATTCATTCCCCTGAGGAGCTCTTACAGGTGAGAAAGGCCTACAAGCTTCGCTACAAGCGCTCCTTGGAAGAAGATGTCGCTGCACATACCACCGGCGACATCCACAAGGTACGTTATGAAGTGAACACAAGATTTAGTACCAAGAGGCTACGCATTCTGGCATTCGAATTCGCCCTTACTAGGTCTAGAAGATCTTTTAATGTACCACCGAGAATTTACCTAATATTTCTATGCTTTTGCTTGTGATCTGGAATGCAAATTTGAAGATTATTTCATGGCTGGCTCTTGTTATGCAGCTCTTGGTTGGTCTAGTGAGTGCGTATAGGTACGAAGGAGAAGAGATCAATGCAAGGTTGGCGAACTCGGAGGCCGTTGTTCTTCACAATGCCATAAAAGAGAAGGCCTTCACCCATGAAGAGGTCATAAGAATCTTGAGCACCAGGAGCAAGGCTCAGCTCAGGGTCACTTTCAATCGCTACCGAGATGACCAGGGCACTTCCATCACTAAGGTACCAAATATGTTCACATATGACTTATGTAGCAATTTTCCTAATAATAGTTTTGCAAAAGACCTTCCCAACACGTTACTACTTAAATTGCTGTCAATTATTTTTGTGTTTCTGGTGAGTTTCAAATTCGATTTTTCTCACTTTGTCTGGATTTAGAATATGCTGGCTGAACATCCTGATGAGTTCTTGGTGGCACTGCGCACGACGGTTCGGTGCCTCAACGATCCCAAAAAGTACTTTGAAAAGGTTAGAACAAATTGTGTTACATTGCAATACATGCGATGCAGTATTAATTAGGTAGATTAACTGACTGTGTCGAGCACAGGTGTTGCGCAACGCAATCAAAAGGGCCGGGACAGATGAGGATGCACTGACCCGCGTGATCGTGACTCGGGCAGAGAAGGACCTGGAGGAGATCAAGGAGGAGTATTACAAGAGGAACAGTGTGTCGCTTGACGAAGCAGTGGCCAAGGACACCTCAGGGGATTACAAGGCCTTCTTGCTCGCTCTCCTGGGCAAGGAGGAGTGATCAACCACCTATTTTCCCATATTGCGTATCGATCTTTTCGTCCTATGAACTTATTAATAAGTATGAGCTTTAAGCGATTTCGGCCAGGACTTTTTATGTGGACAGTGCTTGTTACTTTGTAATTGGCGTGTCTCAACTATCTATTTATGTGATGTTTGTCTTTGCACAAGCACTTCTTCCATAGAAGCAATCCTTTGTTGATCAACCACTTAGATGGAACTACGTCAAATGAGATATAGATGTTACACCGAAAGTATCAAATACCGTGAGAATCACGACTCGTGTCGCTCTGCAGCGTTTGGCTTTCATCTTCTTTTGCACAAAACATTCGAACACCCATCCACAGAATAGATAGAAGTAGCTGCAAAGTCGACAACTTTGGTTAGCCTTCGATCAATGCCCGACTATGTAGTTCAGTAGAGAGTGGAAGATAAGAGTAATAAACCTGGATGAAGGCAAAGAAGTATTCACATTGCCTGGAAGCAGCCACCCAATGAACTTGGTCGATTTGGTGGCAGTACCTTGCACGTGGCGTCAAGCTCATTGAACACTGAAAGTCCATCACATGAAAACATCACATATGAAGACATTCAGAGAGAGAGAGAGAGAGAGAGAGAGAGAGAGAGAGAGAGAGAGATGTGGGAAAGGAAAGGACATGCAAGATTGGTTCTTGAGGTTTTGATATGTGGTTTGAGCTATAACGTGAATGTGTTCCTTGCTGATGCATTGCCAACATGAGTGATTTGGTTGGTGCATGCTGGCTGTGAATAAACATTCTTTAGCAATATGGATTGGGAATCTCCTATAAAGCCAGACAAACCAAAACCCAAAACAGGAAAAAAATAAAAATAAAAAGACAGATCTTTTATTTGATGGTAAATCGAGGAGGTGACGATGACTCTTAAAATTGTTCTCTCGTGTTAAATTATCAATTGTTTCAGTTATTTTTTTTAAATTTTTTATTAATAGTACTTGAGTTTAATAGTTTTTTTTTGGTGAGAAATTGATAGTATTTCAAATTTCATGTCTCATTAATTTACTCGCCGAAAAAGTCGTCCTCTTGAGAAAATACGTTAAAAAATGGGATAAGGACACTAGAAGTGCCTTAACTTTTGTACAGCGCACACTTGAATGCCATAATTTTTTTTGGCTCACTTGAGTGTCACATCGGAGTAAAATAGATCATTTGAGTGCCATTTTCGACCAAAATAGATCATTTGAGTACCACTTCTGGCGAAATCGTCCTATGTGGATTTTTTACTTAATTTTACAATCTGACGTGGAATTTTCAAAAATTAATGGAAATCTTACGTGGAAATTTTTGTTCGAGAGAAACAATGTCGTTTCCTAAATTGTGTACAAATCTCTCCCTCTAACAGAAACGATATATGTCGTTTCTGGGCGTGTAATAGCTTGAAAACGACGACGTCTCGTGTAAGTGCCAAATTAGGGCTTCTCACTCACACGTCATCTTCCTCATGTTCGTGCACGCTGTCTTCCACCCTTCTCTCGATTTCTCTGAGATAATCACAAATTAGGGCTTCGATTTTGTTCGATTCCTCAACACTTTGTCTCTTCTAAAGCAAATCGAGCTCTCACTGCCACTCTCTCTGTATGCCCAAAGTCCCAAATCGCAGCTCTCACTGGCACTCTCTGTAATGGCAAATTAGGGTTTCGATCTTTCTCCCCTTTGATCTTTGTTTCTGCTGCTCACTGGACAGAGACTAAAAAGGCGACGGACTGGAGGGAAAAGTTAGGACTTGTCGCGTGACGAATCTTAGTCGACAGAGAATAAAGGTTAGTGATTTGTTATTTTGTGTTGACTGACTAACAAAGTGAGCAAATGTTTATTTAATTTCGTGTTGTTGACAGAGTGTAAAAGCGTGGGAAAAGACGATATCTTTATTGATTTGGGTTTGGTGCTATAGTGTAAAGGTGAGTGCTTTAATTAATTCACTGTTATACTTTGTCGATTTGTGTTCACTGACCGACACCTCTGATTGTTTATTGCGATTGTGGGGACCGTTGTTGAAGTTGCCCATTTGTGTTGTGGTCTCCTATCACATTTTTTTTTTGTATGGGGTGCAATGTTTTTTTTGTGGTTGTGAGGACTAAATGATAAAGTTGTCTAATTATGTTGTGGTCCCTATTACAGAAATAACCTTTTTTTTATATGCGGTGCAATGTATTTATTGTAATTGTGGGGATTGATTACTAAAATTGAAATTGTCTGTCTGTGTTGTGGTCCCCTATTATAGAAATAACTTTTTTTATGGGGTGCAGTGTTAATATGGACGATACTGATGCACCCATTAAAGTTTGATACGGTGGGAGGTTTGTGATTGGGAAAGAGTGGGAATACGTTGGTGTTATCCTTGTTAGTCTTAGTAAGCTATCATATAAAGACTTTAAGAAGGATATAGAGGAACAATTGCAATGCAAAATAGGGAACTTACATTATCAAGTACCCGGTAAGGGTCTTAAGGATGGCTTGAGATATCTGCATGATGATAGTGGCGTGAGGGATCTTGTTTATCATTATCTTCATGGTAGTGATGTTTATGCATATGCTGTATATCATGGCGATGAAGATGAGCAAGCAGTGTTAGAAGCTGGTGCTGAAACCCAAGCCAGTTATAGAGTTGTTTTAGAAGGAGATGTGAGAGCAGAGGAGACCGAGGCTTTGCATATATATGCTGTGTTAGATTTATTTGACCAACTTGAGAATACCGGTGGCTTATCTGATGGTGAAGATACATTGCCCGAAGAATAGACTAGAATAAGCCTGGGCTCTTGGGATAAGCCTGGGCTCTTGGGAAATTGCACTGTCAGGTGACGAAGATAAGGAAACATCAGTGCATACCATTTGCACAAGTGATGTTGATGATGAGGATATTGCACAAGCAAAGGAAGAAGTGAAGGCATTTCAGCAAAGAAGAAAAGTACCATTTGGGGTGGGGAATGAGGGCATTTCAGTCAACAGGGACAAAGGAACTCATGCGTCTGATGGTGACGATTATGATAATGAGGAAAATGGGCATGATGATGGCAATATCTCGGAGCATGATGATGATAAAGATGGTGTAGTGCAACAAAGAAGGAGAAGTTAATATCCCTCTTATGATTCGACAGGTACATCTCTTGCCTTTTGCATGTCGATGAATTTTGATGATGCCAAGCATTTTAGAGACGCTATTATAAGGTATTGCATCACTCAACAGAGAAATGTTAACTTCACTAGAAATATCAAGAATTTTATTAGAGCAAAGTGTGCACAAGACAATTGTCCATGGAAAATATACGGTGCATTGAATAAGAAGAGTGGCTCATTCCAAATCCGGTCACTCCAGGAGGAGCATAATTGCAGTATTGTATTTGATAATAAAAGAGTGACTAGTGTGTGGTTGGCCAAACACTTCTTCAACACCATCAAGGCAATGCCAGAAATCAAGACTTCTCAATTGAAAAAGCTAGTGAAAGAGCAGCTTGGTGTTAATGTGTCCAAAAATTAGTGCAAAAGAGCTAAGCACAAGGTGATGAGTACATTGCTAGGTACCTATAAGGAAGAATATGCAGAGATCTGGAACTATGCTAGGGAATGTAGGCTTCAGAATCTACCTAGTAGAATTCATGTAGAAGTTGTGGATAAGCCTTCGCCTGATGATGGGACATAGTTTCGTAGGATGTATATATGTTTTGATGCATGTAGAATTGGATTCTTAACTGGCTGTAGAAAAGTGATAAGGTTAGATGGGTGTTTTCTGAAAGGATTATCCAAAGGAGAGTTATTGGTTGCGGTTGGGAGAGATGGAAACAACTAAATGTTTCAATTGCTTGGGCTGTTGTGAAGGTTGAGAACAAAGGAATTGGTCCTGATTTCTGAAAAATTTAATGCCTGATCTTCAAATAACTGATGGAACAGGTTGGGCATTCGTGAGCTACCAATAAAAGGTAATGCCATTGAATTATTAGCTTTCTAATATCATTCATGTAGCTTACAAATGTTTGTTGGTTTTGCAGGGGCTTGTTCCAGTGATCGCTGAGTTGATGTAATTCACTAAGCATAGAATGTGTGCTCACCATATATATGCTAATTGGGCAAAGAAGTATAGAAGTGATCGACTGCAAAGGCAATTTTGGCTAATTGCAAAGAGCACAAATATGACAGATTTCAGAATTCACAAAGAAGCTCTAAATGCCTTGTCAACTGAAGCTTGTGAAGCATTGTTCCAAACTGAAGCAAAGCATTGGTGTAGAGCCTTCTTCAGTGAAGAATTCAAGTGCGATACCGTTGACAACAACCTTTGCGAGGCTTTCAACGGCAGGATTATAGAAGCCAGGTGCAAATCAATTATCAGTATGCTGGAAGACATCAGAGTTATGATTATGACGAGGCTGCAAAGACAGAGAGATGAATGTTCAAAGTGGCTTAGACAACGTGGGCGTAGGATTATAAAAAAATTGAATGACAACATTGCTGCTAGTAGGTTCTGTCATTCAATTTGGAATGGGGACGATGGATACGAGATCATGAATAACGGTGACAAGTATGTTGTCCATTTGGATAGAAAAAAGTGTTCTTGTCGAGCATGGCAATTGGCTGGAATATTTTGTTCACATGCCATTTGCGCAATCCAGTCAAAGCAACTCAATCCAGAGGATTATGTAGAGGATTGTTACAAGAAAAGCAAGCATCTTGCTGCATACCAATTCATGATGCAGCCTTTGAGAAGTTGTAAGTTTTAGGACAAAACAAACCATCAACCCCTATAACCTCTACCACTGAAGAAACAAATTGGCAGGCTTAAAAAGAAAAGGAGAATGGAGGAAATTGAGACTACTAGTAACAGAATGAGCAGGGCTGGTGGAATAATTCGATGCTCACACTGTCATAGGGAAGGGCACAACAAGACTGGTTGTCCAACTAAGAAGCAGCAACAACAACAGCAAGAGACAACACAGGCCAATGATGCAGGGATATGTTAGGGCAACTCAGAAAGCAATAATGCAGGACCAACTACAATGCCAACTCAGTCCAATATTGTACAACAGAGGAGTAAATTTCAAGTAAGCTGTTTGTTATGGTCATTGCCATTATATGTACTTCTTGATGTATTAACTTCATTCTGTTTTGTCATTTTGTAGGTTAGAAAAAGAGCAGTTGAAGAG